TATAAGAAGACACATTTTACATTGACGTCTATATAAAATCCCTTCTCTGTAGCAGTTGGACGGCACATTGCCTTAACCCATCAGCTTTATGACGTGCACTTCCGCGATGGACTATATCTTTACAACGGGAATTTCAAGTTTTTGTCAGTGTAGACATAAAAAGTTGCGGTCCTCTTACTCGCGCAGTTTTTAATATTTTCATTTGAAACTTGCAGGAACGGTGCTTTGAATCTAGCTCTCTACTCTTTGAAAACGTCATGTATAATCAATACAGTTGACCTATTTATTTTTTGTCGCGAAAACATTATTTTTTTAGTTTATTTTTATTTTACAACTTTTTGGGAAAAAATGTAACAAATTTTTATTTCTTGTCATATTTATCCGATATTTTGTCATCATGAAATTCGAGATTCTTTTTAATGATGGTGCAAATTTCATAACAATTGATGAATTTTTATTATCAGTGTTATGTTTTCCAAAAAGGGTGTACCACTGTGCATGTTTCTTTAATTGACGGCACATTTGCTTTTAATTGGGCGAACGTACAGGTCCCGACGCAATAAGCTTTATTTGATTTAATACACTCAAAAATAAAGTTTGCTATCAAATCGGAATGTTCATAAAACATAAACCTTGCCTTCGTTTTCCCAATTCTAAAAGCAGACCAAATAAACTATGATAATCGTTTGACTCTCGAGACTACAGAACTTGAACTTGAACATACTAAAATCGAAGTTGCCTATAGTTACGCTTGTAAAGTTAATTACATGTTTAACGGCCTGCTGAGTGAATGTATCTAATCAAACTTGTGACATACCCATAAGATCGTAGATCACAATTCTAAGTTTAAATGTAATTTGGATTCGTAAGAAGTAATTCTATTTTAAACTTACCTTTGCTGTCTGAAAAAGATCAATATTCATAGACGGGGATGTTGAAACCTATATTTCCTTTGAATGACCTGCATTTGTACTACGAAATGATCCTGTGGAGAAAAGTTGATGAATTCCAAACAGCTAGTTCTAGCAAATCTACTAGTATAAGCTTACTTTCTTTCTTATTATTTCAATGTTAAAAATATCTATTCAAATGTTTCATTTTTAAAATGATCTTGGCTTCCCTTAACTTAAATGTGTGACTTATGAAGAATGCTTTTTACCACATCAAACTTAAGACGTGAACTTGACAATTACTCGTGTTATAACGCGATTTTCTTTCATTTTCTACAAAAATGGTATGTTTTCGAAAGGTCACTTATGTTAATCTATCACCTTGGTATGATTGAAAATGAAAGAACTGAACCAAGTATTGTCGACTTGTTTGAATTATAAGATTTATTTTGATTGATTTAATCTCTTCTTGAATTTTAAAACTTTTGTCCGAATTACATCTGCTATGGAATTAAAGTTCAAATATACCTCAGAATTGCTTATTGAATTAACCTAGCAATTAATTTGAAAATAATGCTTTTCATAGGTTATATATCATAGATCATAGATATGTAAAAAATAAAAATGTGTTTTGAAAGATGAATTGATAACAAACGTTTTTGCACACGTGCCATTTCCACTTTCAGCCCACTTAAAGCACGAAATCCCGTATGACGTAATGTAACGAAAATGCTCAGATAATTGATATTTTTTATTTTAATTCAACTCACAATGACCGTTCAGTTATGAACGTTTTTAAAGTTCTCATGTTAAAATAAATAAATATGTGGAAAGGCAATGGTTTAAAGCTTATGAAAATGTCAAAATCATAATTCAGTTTTAAAAAAAAAGATATTGACATGGTATGGTTCTTTATTTCCTCCAATTTGGAGAGCAAATTAATACAAAAGACAAATTATTATTTTCTCATGGAAGGAATCAAGCAAAAATTATAAAAATAATTCTGTGTAGAGGTGATGCCTCACAAATAATATTAATGTAAAAAAATTAATTCATTTCTTCAAAATTAAATACTGACGCGCATTTACGCACACATGACCTTTTCCAGTTTTGCATATTTCATTGACCTTGAAAACCAATGAGACTGGACGCAATTGCCAAATACTTCGTTGATACGCGTGCCAGGTCTATAATTGCATTTTCTAATGGAAGGAATCAAGCAAAAATTATAAAAACAATTCTATGTTTAGGTGATGCTTCACAAATAATATTAATGTCAAAAAATGAATTCATTTCTTCAAAATTAAATACTGACACGCATTTACGCACACATGACCTTTTCCAGTTTTTCTTATTTCATCTACCTTGAAAATCAATGAGACTGGATGCAATTGCCAAATACTTCTTTGATACGCGTGCCAGGTCTATAATTGCATTTTCTCATGGAAGGAATCAAGCAAAAATTATAAAAATAATTCTATCTCAAGGTGATGCTTCACAAATAATATTTATGTCAAAAAATTAATTCATTTCTTCAAAATTAAATACTGACACGCATTTACGCACACATGACCTTTTCCAGTTTTGCTTATTTCATTTACCTTGAAAACAATATGAGACTGGACGAAATTGCCAAATACTTCTTTGATACGCGTGCCAGGTCTATAATTGCATTTTCTCATGGAAGGAATCAAGCAAAAATTATAAAAATAATTCTATGTTAAGGTGATGCTTCACAAATAATATTAATGTCAAAACTTTAATTCATTTCTTCAAATCCAAATACTGACACGCATTTACGCACACATGACCTTTTCCAGTTTTGCTTATTTCATTTACCTTGAAAACCAATATGAGACTGGACGAAATTGCCAAATACTTCTTTGATACGCGTGCCAGGTCTATAATTGCATTTTCTCATGGAAGGAATCAAGCAAAAATTATAAAAATAATTCTATGTTAAGGTGATGCTTCACAAATAATATTTATGTCAAAAAATGAATTCATTTCTTCAAAATTAAATACTGACACGCATTTACGCACACATGACCTTTTTCAGTTTTGCTTATTTCATTTACCTTGAAAACCAATATGAGACTGGACGAAATTGCCAAATACTTCTTTGATATGCGTGCCAGGTCTATAATTGCATTTTCTCATGGAAGGAATCAAGCAAAAATTATGAAAATAATTCTATGTTAATGTGATGCTTCACAAATAATATTAATGTCAAAACTTTAATTCATTTCTTCAAATCCAAATACTGACACGCTTTTGCGCACACGTGACCTTTTCTTCTTTTGCTCATTTTATTTATCCTCAAAATCAGTAGGCCTAAATACATTGTCCGATACTTCTCTAATACGTGTCAGGTCTAAAATTGCAGTTTATCATGAAAGAAATCGAACAATTATCATAAAATAACTATGTGTAAAGGTGACTGATGTTCTTCAGATTATATAAACATCAAAATTGTAATTCATTTATTGAAGGTTAAATATCCACATGCTTTTAGGCACACATAACCTTTTCCCTTTCGTTCATTTTATCTATCTTTAAAATCAGTGAGCCTGAACTCATTGCTAAATACTTTTTGATACGAGTCAGCTCCAGGTCTAAAATTGCATTTCATCATGGAGCAAATCGAGCAATCATTATGAAAATAATTCTGTGTAAAGGTGATGTTCCAAAGACAATATATATGTCAATTTGATAATTCAGTTACTCAAAATGAAATATCCACATGATTTTACGCACACATGATAATTTCCTGAATGACGCTACTTTTTGGATTCAACCATGCATATAACGTCGTAAAATACACATTTCTACCGAAATTATGCCCAGCCGTTTTCGTAGAAAATGTAACAAATGAAGGCATTTTATCGGAACTGATTGATATTTGGTACTTATAGAATATCGTATTTACTTTAACTTTTAAGCGATTCAGACATTTAAAAAAATTATGTTTAATCAATGTTAATTTCGCACGAATATAGGGTACAAAATGAGTGAAAGTCCCACGTGTTTGATTGCATTTTACTCCCATTTATGTGCATTTTTCTAACATTAAAACGAGATAGTTGGAAAGAAGAGATCAGTAGAATTTTATCCGTCACTTTCATTTTCAAATGTTTAAATGTTTCCCGTTTCATTGGACCTCATAAAGATGGTAGCCAACGAACCAGAAACAAGTAGTGCGATGACGTCATATATCGCTACACCACTTTGATATAAAGTTTGGTACAATGGGTTTTTTCAATGTGCCGTCCTACTGTAGTGAACACTTTTACCTACAGTGAACACTTCTTAGTGACTCCATAGGTGTTCACTATATACAGGTTTTGCTGTACTTGTATTTCAGCTCCAGTCTTTATCAAAAAGTTCATGTGCTACATAAACCTTACTCGAGTCTCTATACTTACAGCTAGACGAAACTTCATTGATTTCGTATGTACTGTGCTACACGCACCTACACGCACCTAGAACTCATTTTTAATAAATTTTATAAATATTTTTAAGAATATTAATCATATTTAGGATGGAGCGTTGCTTGTCTGGATTTAGATATTTCAAAATTTCATTTCGGAGTTTTGACACATGGTGAAATTTTCTCGCTGTAGCTAAAAATGGCTTCCGGTTCTGGACGTGAATAACATTTGAAATTATTCTCGCTTAAAGAAATCAAATATAACAATAGATTCAGACGGGGATGTGAGCTGATGTTCTTCAAATCTATACATAAAGGTATATTTCATATTATTATGCCATATTTACTGTGCGTGTGACACAATGATTTACAATATTTATAATACTAAGGCAGCTCAATCTTCCTCCTCAAAGCCGGAATATAGAGAAGGCTTTGGACCGAAGTAACATAAACCAATCAATTACTCTCTTTTGTGTCATTGCTTATTCACTATTGAATCTTGTAAAATACTATGTTAAAGATAATTACTTTGAATAGAATGGCCTGAATTTGGTACAAGTACTGCCAAAGCATCACATTACTGGTAACAATCAATCAAATATATGGTAGTACACTTTAAAAGTCCACAAGTATCATCTATGTGTTAGCTTACAAGATTTTGTTTTGATCCAACACATCATCCATTACTTCAGGTGGATCTGCAGTGTATAAGCCGCCTTTTGTAGATTAGTCTATTGTATTGAGAGACTAATCAGACATAGACAATGCTTTAAATTGGTTGAGTTGATCATTGACATAAGAAATCATAATTATACATTACACATTATGACAATAGCAAACAAAACAAAATTCCACCAAACAAGGACACGTCTTGAAATGGGTCCACCTTTCCAGCAATGGAAAATTATCCCGTTCCTGGACTATCTATAGTCCAGGAACGGGATAAATGGAAAACATCTACATTGTTTTCGTTTCATGATTACGCGCCAAATTTTACATTTAGAGGCGATCCAATCAGCTTGGAAATGACAAGTTTACCAGTCGGCTGGGAGGAAAAAATTAGTAATTCCACTGGTAAGTATACATTATATCCAGATATTATAGATTGTAAGTTAATCATAGAAACAAAAGTAATGTTCGTAAATAGTTAGCAAATGCATAGATTTGATATTGTTTCATTATTTGTCCACTTCCGCTAAAGATCGAGTTCTAATTTTTTGAGCGACAAAGAAAGTTTTAGAAGCAAGTTCAGGAACCTATATTTACGACGGTAGTTGAATTTCAATACAATAAGTAATACGTAGTTGTAAATAATAATGTGAAGGAAATTCCGTTCACTGTGATATCAACTGATATTCCTTTTGTACACGGGGCTAGGAAGAAGATTTATACCGTAGGAATTTTGCTGCAACCCAATGTTATTTTTCAAATTTGAATCACTCCTTCCCCACAATGTCTACATCTCTCACTTTTGTGCAATGAGTGCACTAATGTACACCCAGGCCTGTTAACTTGGCACCATGTAACATGAGTGACTTCCAAATGTTTGAACACATTCCTTCAAATTTTGGACACCTTACTGAACACTGGTCAATTTTGGACACCTAAAATTTTTCCTGTTCGGTACCGCTAGCGGTTCGCGAGGGCATACTTGTTAAATAGCGCCCCCAAGGACTCCTTAGAAAAAATACATAAATTAGGTATAATAAAGCCCAAAATGATTTGATTTTTTAGACCCAGTGCCCAAAATTCGCGGGATTTTGCGGGACATCTACTAAATTCGCGGGATTTCGCAGGACATTTAAGGGATTTGCGTGATTGCGCTTATAGGCCAATTTTTTTTATCAAATTCGCGGGATTTCGCGGGACCATTCGAGGGACAAACACCCTAATTCATGTAATTGCGGGACAGTTAACAGGTTTACCAGCAAAAACTTCATAGAGGGACAGATTTTCTAGAAAAAGTGCCCTAAATTTGCGGGATTTCGCGGGACATCCACCTAAATTTGCAGGATGTCCCGGGACATTCAAGGGATTTGCGTGATTTGGACTAATGTAAAAGCGTGTAAAAGTACTTAAATCTAACTTTCAGAAACTGATTAATCAAATATAATGCACCGTTACATTGTAACTTAAATAAACGTCAACATAACTTCACAAAATACGCATAGAAATATTATTTCAATTGAAAGCCCATGGTATAGGGTTTCGATTAATCTACATCAAATTATAGGGAATGCGGTTACTTTTTCTAGATAGGGTTTGTAGAAAAAACCGGGTACCGGGTAGTAAATCCTCAATGCTGGGTTCAAACTTGGTACCCGGTCGAAAAAACCGGGTACCCAAAAAACGAAATATACTAATATACAACATAATTAGATCATTAGAAAACGTGTAATATTTGTTTTGAATTTACAAAAATGTATGTAACTTCCTTCAAAATTGAGATAGAAGCTTCAAATAAAAAGCATTTTAAGCCTCTTTTCTTCCTCTATCATCATGGTCATATTTCCATTGGTAATGAAGGGGGAGGGGGGGGGTGCGATCGCACCATCACACCCTCACCTGGCTCCGCCAATGACATTGTAAGACGATTTGAATAACAAGGCAAATCAATTTTACTCTATTTTCAATAGTTCGTATGTTGGTACGTGAATTGTTTTGATTATGATTTAAATCTGTAAATTGCTATCGTTGCTTTAGCAGAGAGGTGACGTGTGTTAATTTACATGATGCAATGTGTAAGATTTTGATTATTGATTTAAGTTATCCCAACTGTCGACAAAATGTCCACTGAATTGTCCACTAAATTGTTATGTCTTACAATGTCATAGGCGTAGCCAGGAGAGGGTGCGATGGTGCGATCGCACCCCCCCCCCATAACCGATGAAAATATGGTCATGACGATAGAGGAAGAAAAGAGCCTTAAAATATGCCTTTTATTTGAAGCTTCTAGCTCAATTTTGAAGGATGTTACACACATTTTTGTAAATTCAAAACAAATCTTACACGTTTTCTGATAATCTAATTATGTTATACTCGTATATTCGTTTTGTTTTTGGGTAAGCTTACCCGTTTTTTGACCAGGTACCGGGTACCAAGTTTGAACCCAGCATGGAGGATTTACTACCCGGTACCCGGTTTTTTCTACAAACCCTTTCTAGATATCAGCGTCCATTTATTGTAACTCGCGTTTGCTAACATTTGCTCAGTTCTGAGATGAAGGCCACACGGATAGTAAAAAGGCCAACGTTGGAACTATTTGACCTACATCCCTATTGTCATAATTAAAATGAAAGTTGAACCCTTCCTCTTTATTTTGATACCAAACAACAGCATGCTAGGTACTTAAAATTAGGTAAACTTTTACTCTTCAAAAGTGCAAAAACTTAGCTTCTTATATAAGATTAGATAATCACAATATAGGCTAGGGGATAATCCCGCCATTCGCGGGACACTTGACAGCTCTGATAAAATGCACCTTATTATCTAAAAAAAACTCTCCTAATGTATTAATACATTTTAAAATACAGGGTTCTTCTTATATGGTAACATCGTCTTCCTATATATAACTCGTCAAATAGCGCCCCTTCGCCATAAATCCAATGGGAAAATAACATGAAGGGGCGCTATTTGACGAGTTATATATAGGAAGACGATGTTCCCTAGATTTCGTTATTATAGACTAGGAAGAAGTGTCTTAATATAGCGCGCTAATTAACAAGTTATATTATACACTTATTAAACAAATTTTGTAAAATTTAAAGCAATTTTTTTTTTTTAATTTATTTATTACAGACACTACAACGTAAGATTACATTCTAAAAGGGATTTATTTTTGGGGCCTTATATAAAAAAGGGGCAAGGTATTTTTTTGGGAAAAAAAAAATAATTAAAATATGAAAAAGGGGCACTATTTAATAGCGCCCCTAACATTAGGATATTAGCATTGAGGGGCTCTATTTAATAGCGCCCCTTACATTATGACATTAGCATTGAGGGGCACTATTTAATAGCACCCATCGCTTAATAATATTACATTATATTAATAACGCCCCTCACATTATATTAGCATTATGGGGCCACTAATGATATATAATAAAACTGCAAAGTAAATACTAATAGTGCCCCTTTACATTAAAATATAACATTATAGGGGCACTATTTAATAGCGCCCCTTACATTATAATATAACATTTTTATAGACTAGGAAGAAGTGTCTTATTATAGACTAGGAAGAAGGCTCTTATTATAGCTCGTTAATTAGCGCCCCTCCGCCATAAATCCAATGGTGAAATGGCATGGAGGGGCGCTATTTGACGAGTTATATATAGGAAGACGATGTTCCCTAGATTTTGTTATTATAGATTAGGAAGAAGTGTCTTATTATAGCTAGTTAAATAGCGCCCCTCCGCCATAAATCCAATGGTGAAATAGCATGGAGGGGCGCTATTTGAAGAGTTATATATAGGAAGACGATGTTCCCTAGATTTCGTTATTATAGATTAGGAAGAAGTGTCTTATTATAGCTCGTTAAATAGCGCCCCTCCGCCATAAACCCTATGAGAAAATAACATGGAGGGGCGCTATTTGACGAGTTATATATAGGAAGATGATGATCACAATTTTTTTTTATTGTAGACTAGGAAGAAGTGTCTTATTATAGCTCGTCAAATAGCGCCCCTCCGCCCTAAATCCTATGAGAAAATAACATGGAGGGGCGCTATTTGACGAGTTATATATAGGAAGACGATGATCACAATTTTTTTTTATTGTAGACTAGGAAGAAGTGTCTTATTATAGCTCGTCAAATAGCGCCCCTCCGCCATAAATCCTATGAGAAAATAACATGGAGGGGCGCTATTTGACGAGTTATATATAGGAAGACTTTGTTCCCTAGATTTCGTTATTATAGACTAGGAAGAAGTGTCTTATTATAGCTCCTCAAATAGCGCCCCTCCGCCATAAATCCTATGAGAATATAACATGGAGGGGCGCTATTTGACGAGTTATATAAAGGAAGAAGATGATCACAATTTTTTTTTTTTTATTATAGACTAGGAAGAAGTGTCTTATTATAGCTCCTCAAATAGCGCCCCTCCGCCATAAATCCTATGAGAATATAACATGGAGGGGCGCTATTTGACGAGTTATATATAGGAAGAAGATGATCACAATTTTTTTTTTTTTATTATAGACTAGGAAGAAGTGTCTTATTATAGCTCCTCAAATAGCGCCCCACCGCCATAAATCCTATGAGAATATAACATGGAGGGGCGCTATTTGACGAGTTATATATAGGAAGAAGAAGATCACAATTTCTTTTTTTTTTTATAGACTAGGAAGAAGTAAATTAGATAATAAGGTGCATTTATATGAAATTATTTTCAATCTAATTCAATTTTTGAGATGTTTTTGAAGTATAGCTTTATTATACTCAAATGAAAGGCAATTTAGAGTAGATTGCAAAAATTGTAGCATTTTTCTGATCCGGGCCTCAAAAAATTCAAAATGGCTGCCTAATGTGGGATTTCGCAATTATTTTCGTATCTCTTTAAAGTATGGCTATATTAACTCAAATTGAAGGAATCACAATTATGGCATTGTTTTTATCGCACCCTTAGGTGCTATATTGTAATCAGTTTGCCGGGCGGGTGGTTGGGCGGGCGGGTGTCCCAAATAATCTTGTCTACAGGATTCCAGCCAAACCGTTTGAGGGATTCATTTGAAATTCTCAGGGATGTTTCTACCTATGAAAGTTTAGAACTGATTAGTTTTTCGACATTCTGGGTAAATGTTAAGGCGGCCATTTTGGATTTTCCGTCCCAAAATCTTGTCTGTCAAGGCTTGTCTACAGGTTTCCAGCCAAACCGTTTGAGGGATTCATTTGAAATTCTAAGGGATGTTTCTACCTATGAAAGTTTAGAACTGGTTAGTTTTTCGGCATTCTGGGTAAATGTTAAGGCGGCCATTTTGGATTTTCTGTCCTAAAATCTTGTCTGTCAAGGCTTGTCTACAGGTTACCTGCCAAACCGTTTGAGGGATTCATTTGAAATTCTCAGGGATGTTTCTACCTATGAAAGTTTAGACCTGATTAGTTTTCAGCATTCTGGGTAAATGTTAAGGTGGCCATTTTGGATTTTCCGTCCTAAAATCTTGTCTGTCAAGGCTTGTCTACAGGTTTCCAGCCAAACCGTCCAAGGGATTCATTTGAAATTCTCAGGGATGTTTCTACCTATGAAAGTTTAGAACTGATTAGTTTTTCGGCATTCTGGGTAAATGTTAAGGCGGCCATTTTGGATTTTCCGTCCTAAAATCTTGTCTGTCAAGGCTTGTCTACAGGTTTCTAGCCAAACCGTTTGAGGGATTCATTTGAAATTCTCAGGCATGTTTCTACCTATGAAAGTTCAGAACTGATTAGTTTTTTGACATTCTGGATAAATGTTAAGACGGCCATTTTGGATTTTCCGTCCTAAAATCTTGTCTGTCAAGGTTTGTCTATAGGATTCCAGCCAAACCGTTTGAGGGATTCATTTGAAATTCTCAGGGATGTTTCTACCTATAAAAGTTAAGAACTTAATAGTTTTTCGGCATTCTTGGTAAATGTTAAGGCGGCCATTTTGGATTTTTCGTCCTAAAATCGTGTCTGTGAAGGCTTGTCTACAGGTTTCCAGCCAAACCGTTTGAGGGATTCATTTGAAATTTTCAGGGATGTTTCTACCTATGAAAGTTTATAACTCAATAGTTTTTTGGCATTCTGGGTAAATGTTAAGGTGGCCATTTTGGATTTTCCATCCCGAAAAAGTGTATTCTGTTCAAGGGTGCGATTCTGTTCACCGTGTGGCTTATTCTGATTTGTGTCTCTGAAAATTCAAAATGGCTGACTAGAGCAGAAATTCACCATTACTTAGAGTTATCTTGAAAGTATGGTTACATTATACTACAATGATCTAATATATTTATTGAAGGAAAGAGTAAATATTACATTGTGACTGTACAGATTGATGATTTATATAGTGTTCGTTGGGATTTGCTATTCCGTGGAGTTGCCATTTTCTAGTTGCACAATGGTCTCCTGATTTTCATTTTTCATTATGAAATATCAAACCTTTTCTTGTTCTGCCGATTAACCTACAGTTGGGGATTCTGTAATTCATTTTTATGTAGGTTTCGGAAGAAATTAGTTTTTGAATGGCACAGAGTGTACATATACTATCCACAATAGGACCAATTTATGCCAAACATTACGGGAGTAGATGATATCAGTAACTCATTTCAGTCATTATGACTCTGTGGAAGGGAATGATTGGGACACTTTACTGTAAGTCAGTCTTAGTGTCAAGGTAACCGCTTCCCAGTTAATTACATGGATTATTTTCATATTCAGCAATATATTTTTCTTTTCCAGGAAAAAAATACTACTTCAACACCAGCACTAAAGAGTCCCAGTGGGAACCACCAATGGCAGGAGAAAAAGTTCGCTGTTCCCATATTCTTGTGAAACATAAAGATTCACGCAGACCATCCTCATGGCGGGAAGAAACAATAACTATAACAAAAGAAGAGGCCCTTGAAAAACTTACAGGTATGTCACATGTATTGTTTTATCAAATAAAGCTATATCTTATATGTTGGAAATAGGGGTCAATTTAAATGGCACCGGATTATGTAAAGTTTGCTTGAGATCCCCCCACCCCATGTGAATTTGATTCACAATATTGCCCCCGGGATAGGAATTTGATGCCGCCTCCAAAAAAAGTTGCACCTCCTCATTCTACTTGTATTCATAGACAACTCTACAAGTTGCCCACCTATTCCATAAGAACTGATCCAACATACGTACAGCTTTATTATCCCAACGAACGAAGTTCGTTAGGGATATAGTGAAGCCCTCCGTCCGTCCGTCTGTCAGTCCATCAGTGCGTCAGTCAGTCAGTCAGTCAGTCCGTCCGTCTGTCCGGAAGATAACTCAAATACTAGTTGACAGATTTTCTTCATATTTAGTGGAAAGATGTATATTGGTGAATAGTTTTACGCTAAAAAAAATTTTCCAAGATGGCCGCCGCTTTAAAAATGACGGGACTTTTTCGCAAAAATCATAAATTTTTCATTCTAAACCAAAGTAATTAATATTATTGTTTGAAATTTTGGTAGTGCATTCACAACATTTATCTATTTCACATATATTCCGTGTTTTTCATCCTGACCCCCAGGGGCCATGTATGGGGGGACAGGAAAACAGAAATTTTCGCTAATTTTTAGATCTTTCTGAAGTATAGCTTTATTATACTCAAATGAAAGGCAATTAAGAGTAGATTGCAAATATTGTATCTTTTTTCTGATTCGAGCCTCGTAAAATTCAAAATGGCCGTCTAATGTACGATTTCGCAATAATTTTTCGATCCCTCAAAGTATGGCTATATTATACTCAAATTGAAGGAATTTTGGAGTAGATCACAATTATGTTATTATTTTTCAGATTTGTACCTCAGAAAATTCAAAATGGCTGCTTTGCAGGAATTCGCAATTCTAAAATCTAATTTTTTCATTTTCAACCAAAGTATTGAGTATAATTGATTGGAATTCGGTAATTGATATTTTGTTCGTTGGGATTTGCTACTCCGCGGAGTTGCCGTTATCTAGTTCTCCACTTTTGTTGAACAGATACAAACCATGGCCCTTCCCAGCCCATTTTTGTCAAAAATATCAGGCATTAGACTGACATTCTACTAGAAAAACTTTTGAATGGTGCATTGTGGTAACCTTCAGATTTTTAATGCCTTGTTATCTGATAAAATGGTTTCCATTATTTTTCAGGACTGTTTGAAAGGATTAAGTCTGGGGAGTCTCAGTTTGACGAAATTGCACAAGTTGAGAGTGACTGTAGCTCAGCAAAGCGAGGTGGAGATCTAGGATTTTTCGGTAGAGGGCAGATGCAAAAGCCGTTTGAGGATGCAGGATTCTCTTTAGGAGTTGGAGAGATGAAATGTCCTGTTTCGACAGATTCAGGAGTGCACATTGTCAAGAGATTAGAATAAATGGTACTCATCAATCATACAAATATTTACTAACTTCAAGGAAATCATGGACCTAGCCTTATTTAAGATTTATTTTACAATGGAACCACAGAGCATTCTCTACATCACTAAACTTGTACTTAAGAGTTTGTCCAAGAAAGAAGATACACTATATTGGGGCAGTTATCATAACCATATGAACTATACGCTTAGAAGGACATTCTCAACAGAGTGTGAAGTTAACATACCATATTCTATCTAATGAGCACAGTGAAGTTTCCAAATTGAAATTTTTAAAAGGATAAGATACTGAGAGATTCTATTAAGTGCACATACAATATATTTAGATAACAGCAACACCAACTAGTCGAAGTATCATAAGACACTATGCCATGCTCATGTGTATTCACATATCAAATATGAACAAAATCACTCTATTACTTTTTGAGTTATCGTAAAAAGTAAAATAACACACATTTGCCTTCTAGCCAAACTGTCATGATAAAACAGTGTGCCATGCTTATGAGTATACATGTATCAAATTGTTGTGTAAATAATCGAAACTAATGCATTAAACCTTTGTGCTTTCTTGAGACCATATTCCACATAAAAGTCGCATGTGCATTCATTGGAATAGTCATGTGTGCTCATTAGAAAGAATACAATAACAATTTTGCCAAATCTATTCATGTTTGTGCAAGGCATATTGAAATTTTCAACAGGGAGCTTAATAAATGCAGGTCATCCCTGATACTAGTATCTTGTACAAAGGATATAAAACAAACAAGAGACCTATTTGAACAAGAAGTCATTGTTGTGTTTAATAATCCATTTTACTTTGAAATCATAGACTTTAGAGTACATTAAAATATTCTGGACATAGCAATTTTCTCTGACCGGTCATTTGTTTAGTAACAAGGTAGATATCATTAGTTTTGCAATTTAGTTTTGTATTGTTCTATTCATAAATGTAAATTGGTTCTATTTCATTGAGTGTCTCTATTAAAAAAAATAGATATTTCTAAGAATATGTAAGCTATAATGCTATTGTATAGTATATATTTTGTTGTATTTTTACAGTATCACACGCATATTTTCTAATGCAATACAAATGACATTGTCTACTACAATAATATTATACTTTTGTCCTTTGAATTTGACCATGTGAAGTGAAATCCATGATTGGCACAGAATGCATTTTACCATTGTTCACATTCAGGTCACTGTCTTCTTCAAATGATCCAAGCAAAGTCTACATACAGTAATAGCTAGAGAATGATTCCACTGTTAAAAAAATTGTTTCCCTATTCTATAAGATAACATATTCAGAACTTTTATGAGAATTCACTGTTTTGATTTTTGCACAATGACAAAATAGAAGTCAGTTGCTCTATTTATTACATCACCATCTCTTTTGTCAGCTCAAATACACAGAATGTCATAGAGGGCTAACAAAAAATTCAAAAAGGCCTTAGTTAGTACCCCAGACAGGTTGAATGATGCAGTTGTATTTTTACTCCATATTTGCAATAGAACAACCATTCTTATTGAAATTTTCAGGATTTACACTAGAGACAATTTCTAATTTTATTGACAGTGCGGTATTTTTGAAAAAAGCCTATCAAAATCATAAAAATAGGAATTTCTTTAAAATATTTTTTTTCCATGTTGGAAATTGTCTCCAAAATAAATCATGAAAATTTCAATAAGAATGGCTGTTCTATTGCAAATATAGGGTAAAAACATGACTGCATCATACAACCTGTCCGGGGTACTAAGCTAAAATGTCCTGTTTAAAAACCCATTCTTACTATTGAAAATGGATTCTACCAACTCTCCCACATAAATATACTTGTAATATGAGACTATCACTTGAGAAAATGAGGATTCTGTAACTATCCCCATGATGACATACAATTGATGATATGCAGGTTTTAAGTCAATTGTATCCCCATGTTAAGTCAATACATTGATTGGACAAATTGCGACCTACAACCAATGGCATCATTAATCTGGCCAACAGGCCCAATTTGTTTTTGATTCTGTCGTCTTCTTAACCTCTTGAATACCCAGAATGACGGATATATCTGTCACAAATAAAATCCATTTGGAACCCAGAGCGACAGATATATCTGTCACAGAATTTTTCACTAAAACTGCTCTAACTTTGGCATTTTTTTTATCCAATCTTCACAACTAATGCTTTAGAATGTATGTAATGGGTCTATGTTTACTCTTCTTATGAAGTCAAATATCAAACATAGTGTTTTTAGATGTAAATATCCAGAAAACTAGCAGAAAATGAAAAATGCTCTGGTTTCAAACCCTTTTTAGAGGCTGGTATTGAAGAGGTTAACTATCTGTTCGCAAAAGTGTAGATTTTCTTAAAAACATGATACTGACACATGTTACGTTTATGATATAAATGTCATGGAGATTTTTCCAACAACTCGATTCCAACAACTGAACAACTCGTGAAATAAGGAAAAAAGAAAAATCATACCTTGGAGGTTCTGAAACTTTGTTACCAAAATGGATACATTTTGCCTCTGGTTTGAAAAGTGCAGTACGAGTGATACTGGGAAATAACATTTGAAGTTCTGAACTTTGAAAATATCAAAGGATTAGAGACTCACCTATATTTGTTATTTACTTAAGGTGAGAAAATTCGTCATCCTACACAAGGTGTGTACTAAATTAAGTGTGACACTTGAACATGCAGAGTAAGGTACAACACAAGGGAGCAAACTAATGTTTTCATTGTTACAGAAAGATCTGGTTTAGTTTCGAGATATTTTTATATGTAAATAGAGAGGTTAAGCTACATGTAATTTAAAAAATCTTGAACGTGAACTTCAATGTAACCTCTCAGTACAAAATAACAGTAAAAAACATTCAACTTATTTCCATATTAAAGTTTTATTTTGACAATGTAGAAAAAAGTAATGAACAATTCATGAAACAGCTGTTCTAAAAAGTACTTCATTGTCTCAGTTATCACATCAGCTATCGGGTGGTTTTTGGGATTGGGCATTTTGTTCACCATATGAGGCCGGGTATGAGGCTTTGTGGGTTATTTGAAGTGTCCAATGCTAGAGTAGTACCTCATTTAATGTTCAACCGGTGGACTGTGTATAATATTTCATTAACGTTTTTACAAAAAGTCTTTATATCAAAACAATATATATTACAGTACATATATCTAAACCTGACAACAAATGTCATATGCCCAATCAATATTATTAGAGTATATGTGAGGTGTTTGAGTATAGTAAATCACTAAATCCTTGTCATGTGTTCTTATACATTTTACAGCAATTTGTCTTGCAGTTTCATATAAATATTGTCTTATCCACTAAGTGATCCATTCAGATCATGAACACAAGACCTAGTATTTCTCAAAAATGAGAATATCTGAAACTGATAATTATGAATATCCCTCTGTTCACTGTGTTCATTATTTAAAGATGGCTGTCTTTGATGTGCTACGTGGGCGTCCAGAGACTGATCTTGATCTTGCTTGTGAGGCCTGGGTTTGGATTTGGTATGCCAATGGGTGAATCTTGAACCCGTACAACCTGAAAGTGCAGAAAATATTAACATTTTGTAGCAATGGAGATAAACTACTTGGAAGTGTACATGTATTTAAACACCAACGATTTTATAATAACATAATTAAATTGCCATGGGGGGCAAACATGAATTCAAAGAATATTATTTTATATTGGAAATGGGATGGTGATAAAGGTATCCATAACTCATGTAACAATAATTTTATATTTGTTATTTACATAAAATTGTTTTTTAACTGTCAATGATTTGACAGATTCCATTTGGGACTATTAAACTGGCAAAAATACAAAGGAACCATTTCAAGGTAACTGTAATATTGAAAAATTGTGACAATCTTTGAAAGACAGCAGAAACATACCATGATATGGGCTATATACATCCTGTATGGGTTACAGGTAAAGTGAATTTAAGTTTGCCAAAATCGTTATTACTAATTCATTAATGTTTATCATTGTTTTAATACCATAATAGATTGTTTCTATAAACCCTGCCACCTTTCAATATATCAGAGAAACTAGCTTGATGATGTCATAGGCAGGCCTGTCAACTTGGGAACACCTAACATGAGTGAGGGTGGGGGGTAGGTACGAAATATTCCGAAGTAAATGCGTGACATATATACGGTATCAGCGTGAAGTCAGAAAATGTGTTCGGTTTTTTGGCGTTTGTTTTTTTGCTATATCGGTCATCACTTTTTTGAAGTTTTTCTTCAGAAATATTTTTGCTTGACAATAATCAAGTAAAATGCGTATGTCAGGCAAAAAAACTGGCGTGACTTCAAATTTTCCAGCAAATGTGTGACAAATACGCAAATTGAGGGACAGTTGAACAGCCTGCATAGGTTGTATTTTTAAAATTAGCAATAAGTTAATCTTGTTTTTTTATGGTCAAATTCCTACCTTCAACCAATGACATCATCAATTTAGCCAATATATCATAGTTTTCTAATATATCAAAAGGTGGCAGGATTTAACGATCCATTGTCTCATTATTTTTAAATTGGAAAAAGGTAAATATTCAACTAGACTGCTTTTAAATCAGGATCATTTATTTGTTTGTAAAACATTAGCCAGAGACTTGACACAACATTCTTAGGAATTTTACCTTAGGTACGCAATTTGGTATCCTATCTCCATTATTTTTCACAGACAATTTTATAATATTTATGTGCAATTTTTATTCTTTATTGTTTGGTCATACAGTCTATATATAATCACCCGTTCTATTTACAAGTGGCATTATTTCGGGTTTAAATACATAATAAATTCTAGCATACATTACAGTCATACGAAACAAAAAAAAACAAAATAAATAGAATACATAATATCTATATGTACATACAATTAATTTTACTCTGAATTACCATTTATTGCTGAGAATTCTTTAAAGCTCAACTGTGGTGTTCATGTGATATGAAGACTTACTGTAACACATGTAATTTTTTGTATTTCCTGAATCCTGAACATTGCCTCTAAATGGGATATAACATCAGGGCTCTCACTAGGCTTTTAGACTGTGGCGCAGCACCACAGTCTGTTTAGCTTGCACCACAACCTATTGGCAAATCATGATTGTTCCCACAGTCTAAACTTGAATACATGTTAATAGCATGTAAAAGGGATAAAATATATCATACATATGATTTATCACGATTGAACGGTTATGCTGAAGATGTTTCCACCACACCCTTAATATTTCCTGGTGAGAGCCCTGAACATGATGTGAAAATAACATGCTTTACAGTAAGTAATCAAATAAAACTGGATATTATTGTGACTTGAGACAAAGCGGTTCAGAACATCACAACTTAAGCGCAACATAATAAGAGAAAACAAGAAAAATCAGACAAAACATTTCATCCTAATTTATAATTCAAAGATAAAGTCCAAAAATAAAGTGAAAACAATGCACAGTAAAACATTGATTTACAAATGAACAATTTCAACAAAACCTTCCTCAACCAAACCAACAGTAAACCATTATGATATATTGTATGTTAAACATGGAACTTATACACCCCACGGGGTGTCTTTTCATGTCAATGTAAAATACTGTATCTGAAACATTTAAAATAAAGTGAATTGAATTGAATTGAAAAAATTAGACCAGTACACAAGTGACAAAGTATGCCAATGGCCAACATCATTCTAATATGACTAAAATACAAGCTTGTGAACCATGATGAAAATATAAGGTGTTTTGAGCACAGATAATTTATCATTTAAATATGATGAGCGTAACTTCAATAGGTTGAAAAGAATCTTTTTCCATGGAAACTATCAACATTACAATGCATTGGAATATGTAATTTATTCATTTGGAGAAGTCAACGAAGTGAGGTACATTGAAGTATTGATAGTGTTGCCTGTGCTCATCTATTATTATACGCCAAGTAACCCTCCCTTCCATTCTCAAAAATGTCCATTTCGGGATCGAGATAAGGAATAGGGAGTGGGAGGCTGTTAGAGATTTCCCACAATAAAATAATTCAATGTAGATTTATTCCAACCCTCAGTAAAGTTAGAAAGCAATAGTCACATCCGATAAAAATTATATCACTGGTTAACAAGCACTTCACTGTCTATAGTGCTTTAAGGTACTTGTATTTGATTCTATCACAAAGCAGTGAAGAGAGTTGCAATATGTGTTTCAGGAAACAGACCTTGTACGGGTCTGTTATACTATTATACATGTATTATCTTTAAATGTTAGTTAGCTTGATCTTCTATGTTAGAACAAGGTCATTGTTTTTCATTGTAACCTAGTGCTCCAATGGGTATATTAGCTTGTTTCCTATGTTATAACGTGGTCAGCGCTTGCCATTGTGACCAAGTCCCCGCATGGGCATTTTAAAGTTAGCTGCGGCCTGATATTGTAGCTGGTAACTTAGAGGATGTATCTTGAACCCATAAAGCCTACAATCACACAAACGGAAGCATCAGTCACTGCAAGCTATTACCCATAACCCACTCAAAATTTCACATGGTATGTTATTGATATTTTCTTGCCTCTCATGTACCAGGTCAATATTTAAATAATGCCAAAAAATATTTATATTTCCAATCCTACCTCCCTCACAAATGTAACTGAACATTTACTGATCATGATCAAAATGTATCTCACTTATACTAAAAGTGTAATGGACTTTTTACCCCCACCCAAACAAATTAATTCTTTACACTAGTGGATATCAATCATAAACTAGCCTTTTCCTAATTTTTTTGCTAAAATGTCAAAAACATGACCATGTTAGAATTTTTGAGATGGGGACATCCTACACCTGATTAAGAGGAGGAGCGCTCCCATAATGCACCAATAACATTTTGAATGACAATAAAGTTATCTGGCCATAACTTTTGAAATTAAAATGAACAGAGCTCCATATAAATTAAGGCAAATAATTCTAAAATTTTATCAAAATTATGAAAAAGCGCTGAGATTTTATAATGATACTAATACTAATGGAGCACTCATCCCATTTAATCATGCGGACACAAAACCAAATTGTGACAAAGGCAATTGCAAAAGTAGTTTTCATTTGTTAGGTTCACACTAACAGGTATCATTAGAAACAATTAATGGGTATTGAAGAGAATTTGAAATGTTTGGGTGTAAAAAAAAACCAAGCAGCATGCTATCTTAAATGTGAAATTGTAGCTGATAAAATACATCAAAAAGAGATTGTTAATGTTCATATCATTTGCACAAACAATTTGAAAATGATACAAAACAGATTTAACTATATATGATGATATGTTAAATCAAGCATCTACAGGCAAAATAAGCAAGAAGCTGAGTTTTGTGTTTGTTCATTGCGAATATCAAGCCGTCAACACTTTAAAATGCCCAAGTGTCCTGGTGCGGAAGTCTCAACTTCTGGAGTTGCAATATTTCAGGCTCCTTCCTTGCGTCATCATTTGATTAATTTGACTAATTTATCTTAATCTATTATGCAGTGTGTGTACTTACTTACCATACTTAATTCGAATAACACACATGATATTTCCAAACAAACCTGTGATTCAATGATAAAAGACATCCTGTTTTTCTTCTTAATATATTTCCTTTTTAAAACATTTTCGGTATTCTCTCCAGAATTTTTTTCAATTGGGTCAAATTCATTGGTATATATTCTGACTCAGTGAGATTCAAGGCTCGGCCAAAATTATCTAATTTATGATTTTTACAAAATTCTTAACTGATATTTTTCTCATATGAATGATCACAGGTATGTACTTACTACTTAATACAAGAGAATATGTCCAAATAACGAGAACTTAATAAACTGTTATGTGTACATATATTACAGTCTGATTTTGAAAATATTGATTGCCCAAATGCAACTTAGCACGTGACCTTTTTTATTTTTATAGCAAAGTGTGACACGTCTTGCCTTAAACATGACATCAAGCAGAAAATTACATATTTTCAAGTTGCTTTCTCGGGGGAAGAAGACCAAAATGAATTCATAATGTAATTATTTGTTTTTTCAGAAGTTGAGATTTGGACATGATCCCTTAAGTAAAAAATTAAATAAATTCACACCCTGGATAAAAATTTCCAACATTGAATAAATCAAAAGACAGAGGAAATAAAGCGACCAGGGTTTATTTTTTAGAAATGAAGTGTATACTCAGTGTTCCAGAAACGAAACCAAAGAATGGCTTCAAAACTGGATCACCCTGTAGAAAAATGTTAACATACCTAGGAACAAATTGATTAGCCGGTCGCTTTGGTCGATACTCCGGGTGCACCATGAAGAGCATGTGTGGAAAGCCAGTGCCAAAATAAGCGCCATCTGTGTGGTGGTGTCGAGACGATTTTGGGGTGTAGACATCCTGACATTTTGGACAATATAGTTTCACCATTGCTTCACCAGGTACATCAGATAAACCTAACAATTAAAGGAAAATGCCAAATATTTATATCTGGTTATTTTCCACATAAAATGAATCAAGGAACAAATAAACTAAAACTATATATTTTGTATGACATTACTAATCACGTGGGGGCCAATCTGATTGATCAGTTGATTTTAGTACGTTATTTATGACCATTAACAGTTATCTAACATTTCTTTTATAATGGCTATCGCAAGAACTCTCTCGTTGGGCTTACAATGAAGAAAACCGCATTTTTGTAGCTGCAAGTTGAGAAAACCTTGTCCTTAAAAGGAAAATGCCAAATATTTATATCTGGTTATTTTCCACATAAAATGTATCTCTCCTGTTTAAATCCAGCAGTTGAAAATATTAATCATTGGTCAGTAAATGCGATTAACATTCTATTTCAATATTTATTTAAGAGAGAATCAGATCTAAGCGAGCAGGTGAACAAAAAATTGTACCAATTTTAGAATATTTCTGGCTCATGTCATTTCTTGTCATATCTATTTTCTAGAAATCCCCAAAGCGCACACTTTATTTCAGGAAAACTAGCAATTTTTACAATGATGTATTATTTTTCTATAAAAATGGTTAACATTCTTATTATTTGGGAGAATTTAAACATTTTTCACCCAATTCTGCACTTTGAATCCATTATAACTTCACCAATTTATAACATATCATGAATCTTTTTGGAGATATTGTATTTGAAACTGTAAGGAATAGATTGGTAGGTCAATTGTACATTTTGCTTGTAATTTTGTCACCCCTATAGATCTGATTCTGCCTTTAAAGAAATCAATGAGTATGTTCTGAGACATGGTTCCACTACGAACAAGTTTCACTGTGTTTCAACAAAACTGAATTATTTACGTATGGGTTACATTACATTTGGTTGATTTCTGATTGGTCAATATAATGCAATCAACATTTTATTTCAATATCAATATTCATTTAAAAAATCATTGAGTATATTCTCAGAAATGGTTCTACTAGGAACAAGTTTCATTGTATTTTAACATAACTGAATTATTTACCTATGGGTTACATTACATTTGGTTGATTTCTGATTGGTCAATACAATGCAATCAACATTTTATTTCAATATCAATATTCATTAAAAAAATCATTGAGTATATTCTCAGAAATGGTTCTACTAGAAACAAGTTTCATTGTATTTTAACATAACTGAATTATTTATGTATGGGTTACATTACATTTGGTTGATTTCTGATTGGTCAATATAATGCAATCAACATTTTATTTCAATATCAATATTCATTAAAAAAATCATTAAGTATATTCTCAGAAATGGTTCTACTAGGAACAAGTTTCATTGTATTTTAACATAACTGAATTATTTACCTATGGGTTACATTACATTTGGTTGATTTCTGATTAGTCAATACAATGCAATCAACATTTTATTTCAATATCAATATTCATTTAAAAATCCATTGAGTATATTCTCAGAAATGGTTCTACTAGGAACAAGTTTCACTGTATTTTAAGATAACTGAATTATTTACCTATGGGTAACATTGGTTGATTTTCACAATAAACTCTAGGACAATATCCAAAGTCTCCCTGTTGCCATTTTTCTATCTGAAAATACAAACGTATGTTTTCTAAGTAATAATCATAATTCAAATGGCAATATAAATATTTGAGTGATCTGTATATATATTTATTATATATATATATTAGTGATTCTCCCATTTTAACAATCTTATAAATCTTTCTTGTTTTTGTTAAAACATCATGCTGTAAACAAGGTGGCATGTAATTTTCAAGTTTTTAACTTGGTGGAGCATCAAGTTCAAGCTCTAACCCTAGTAAGATTACTTTACATGTAGGCCTATATGTTTTAATTCTTACCATCTGTCCTATACCCCTATTAGTCATTATATATCTTGCATGTATGAGTCCATATAACATCTCTGCTGCTTGTTCTATCAAATCACTCTGATTTGGATTATCTTCTAGTTCATCATCTGAAACAACCAAATCAAACAGAAACTGTCCTTGTACCTCATTAGGCATACAAGGTAGCAAAAGCCCTTCAATGACAGGGAAGAATATGCAGTTTACTGGAATACAAACACAAACTGGTGTTGACAAGCTACCATTTTCTAATAATTTTTTTTTTGAAATATAAATGGTGCTATTTTCAGTAGTGAGGGTATAAAATTTTAATTCTTGAAGCAAGACTAAAACTCACCTGGTTCTAGGTCTAATATCATATCTAGAGCCTGTCTGTAATGTGGGACCTGTTCATTGAGACCCGTCAGGTTAAATTTGTCCTGTATATAATCTTCATCTACTTCACAAAAGAATTCATTTCCCCTGAGTCCACAAAACCATGATATCCACGACACCTCCTCTGAACTGCTCATGGTTTGATTGTCTTTTTACTTTTCAGCACTTATTTTTCTTTATTTGTAGTAGACCTGCAATGTTTACAACTTCTGAAGTCAATACATACAGCGTACAAAAATGCAAATAGTGCCTTTGAATATTCATGCATGGCATTGCATGTACATTGGTATTTGACTGTGATCACTGGTGTTTGCGCTTATATCCAAGTTCTGTCTTCTCTGTCATGTTTGGTGCAATCAAACAATGCTTGAAGCATCAACACACAGACTTGAAGTTGCTGGTCATTGAATGGTTTGGGAAAATTGTAGACTCTGACAGACTTATTGCATTGAAGAATTACAGCCTCTGAACAATTCAGTTTAATTTTGAGAAAATTAAAAAATATGAATGTATTTTTCCAGATGACATTGCATTATTAAATATAATGACGTTTGGAAAACTTTAATTTTTCATTACCTCCCACATTTTTGAGGAGTCAACTTCCCCATGCGCAGTGCGCTAAATGACAATTATTAGACTGAATAATTTGATTTTTCAAACCATCAAGAAAATTTATCCTACTGTATTTGGATTGACTCCATTTTGGTTAGTCTATGAGACAGTGTTAGGCTACTAAAGGACCTAAATGAAAGACTTCCACTTAACTAATAATCTCAGCCTACAGTCTGTTACACTGCTTCAAAGCAACCAGTTGAACTTAAAAATAAGAAATCTTATGACTATTGTGCAATAATATAGAGAAAAATATATTCATATTGCACATGAATGACATTTGTATATCTTGAATTGCTTGTGAATCGGCTTATAAAGTAACCTCTTATATTTTGATGTTTCTCTGCCATGTTAATTCTGAAAAAAATAACATGGTGGATTGACCAAATTACAAGAGGACACAGGCTTATTGCACTAATCACTTATAAATCTGAAATAAACAAGTGTCATTCGTGTGCATTATGAATATGTTTCTTCATATTTTATTGCACAATAATCTTTTGATTTCTCATTTTTCAGGTCCAACTGGTTGCTTTGAAGCATTGTAACAGACTGTAGAGATCTATTTGCCACTAGCACCCTATGCAGACAGAGCCTGTGGGAAATATTGGGTGCGGCGCAAATGAGCGGAGGGTGCGGAGCTAACGGTCATTTTTGAATTTAAAATTGGGATATTTCTGAAACTAAGCCGTTTTGGGACTTCAAATATACCAAGATATGTCTATTTGACACCAAATATCAATAAAATTGTGAAAATAGTAGTGCAATTCATTTTATAGCGACGCATTATGCCTTAAACATTTCCCAGACCTATATATTTTGAAACTATCCTTTTAATACTGCGTCCCCAGCATTCATAAAAAATGGTGTTCAAGATACACTACCCATGCAAATTATTTTTGCATCTTGGAAGCCATGCAGTATCTGTGTGATTTTATAAAAATTCGGAAATGTTTTTCAGATATGAGCCCCCTCTAAATATTGGGTGCTGAGGAGCTCCATAAACGTACCTCCGCACCCAATATTTAGAGGGGGCTCATATCTGAAGAACATTTCCTTGAACACCATTTTTTATGAATGCTGGGGACTCAGTATTAAAAGGATAATTTCAAAATATATAGGACTGGGAAATACTGCGTCGCTATAGAATGAATTGCGCTACTATTTTCACAATTGTATTGATATTTGGTGTCAAATACACATATCTTGGTATATTTGAAGTCCCAAAACGGCTTAGTTTCAGAAATATCCCAAATTTAAATTAAAAAATGACCGTTAGCTCCGCACCATTCGCTCATTTGCTCCGCACCCAATATTTCCCACAGGCTCTGTCTGCATAGGGTGACTAGAGACCCCGTAGTTTTCACCCATGCGCATTCTTCACCTGACATTTTTCTCCGGCTTATCATTGTGACCACATTTTATTACCATTGTTCTATTTACTACTATGACCACATGGCAAGGATTATTGGCTACAAGGATTGGAACTCAATATTTTCCATCAATGAAAACATCGGAATGTTGTTATTTTGTTTGGAAATAAGACCAATATTCATGATTCAAATGTTGAAGTGAACAAAATGGTGGCTGTTTGAATTCAAATTCTGTATCACGACATGCCCATATATAGGACAGAATATCGATGTTGCACCCTGGGAGACAATTCTCCCTGACCACATTGGTATAAAGGCGGTGAAAACTATAGTACTACTTTTTGCAAGGCCTGACTTCGTCGCTAACATGCTAAATATAAGAGTTAGCTGATGTTTGGGAGTCTGACTTACCTTCTAAAGGTTAGAACCCGAATCTTAATGAAACCATATCACCTTTGTTGCGTCGATGATGATGCATAAACATAGCATTTGATAGAAATTAGTGTAAATGCTTTTCCGACTTTTTCATTTTTCATCATTGTGACTTTCGGGAAGGCGTTGTAGTTATCACGAAATAACGCATTGACCCTTGAACTTTACTTTGTTGACGTGTCAACCAAGCATGTCTGGTGTGAAAATTAAAAGAATATTAAGCAATGTTCTACATCCGCCAAGCTAAGTGAAGTAGCCAATATAAAATTACCAATTTCGAGTGAAGTACGCAACGAACGAAACTGCGTGATCTACAGTCCCACTATTTGTCTGAACAAAATGCTACGTAGAAATATGAGCCGTCTGCTGTATTAGTCGATTAATAGAGTAAGACCTGTTGGTGATGCTTTATAATTTAGACCAAAACATTGAAGAACATACGAACCTGTAAATCGTGAAAACAACGAACAAATATTCGGTTTACATATATGTTCGGTAATTTTTCGTATTGAAACTTCCGGAACTTACAAGGAAATCATTCATTTTCTCGGTCCATGATTTACCTCTTGGATGTTGTGGCAAATGCTCCATGGTTGACGGAACAAAGGTGATATGGTTTCATTAAGATTCGGGTTCTAACCTTTAGAAGGTAAGTCAGACTCCCAAAAGTCAGCTAACTCTTATATTTAGCATGTTAGCGACGAAGTCAGGCCTTGCAAAAAGTAGTAGGGCGAAGGGGTGTAATGTCGACGTGTGAGGTAATGTCGACATAATAGACGGGGTAACTTCGACACTTACGTATTAGAAGTAGAATTTCCGTTTTCCGCCATGTTTGATTTCTGGAAAAATTAAAATCTCGCGAGATCTCGATCCATGCGAGAACAAAAACATGGCTTCCCCCTAGATCGGAAATTAGAGCAAATAAACAACAAGGTGTCGAAGTTACCCCACATGTCGAAGTTACCCCAAAACGGTGTCGACGTTACACCCCTTCGCCCTAGGCCGAGACAAAATTGAGTTTCCAATCCTGTGAATCCCATTTTTCAGGTCAGTGCTTTGAAGTATAGAAATAAACTTGAATAAAAGTAAACCTTTGCTAATTATTATATCACAAAACATATATTTGGGTATATTGCTTTGTTCAGAATATTCAATACTGGACTTACCACGTACATAAGTAGTAAAAGAACCAATATTTGACGAAAAAATATGATTTCCTAAAAATATTAAAAGTATAACTGCGCATGCGCAAAAATTAGGTGTCTCAAAGTTCATCAAAATTCTAAAATATTCCTTCAACTGCTTCTGATTATTAGCAATTTATTCGTCAAAGAGGGAAGAATTTGATCAAATTTAATGTTTGATTCGCTGCATCTATCGATAAAATATCGAAATACTATGTGAATGAGCATAAGACGATACTTTCAAAATAAGATCTGAAAATGAAAGAGACACCAACCGGCAACATGGCTGACGACAAAACCCAAAAGAAAGATGAGAAGAAAGATGCGAAGAAAGACAAGAAGGGAGATGAGAAAGATGACTCCGATATGGTGAGCTATTCAGCATATATTTTTTTATGAGTCCTCCTTGTATGAAGTTGATCAAGCCTATGTAAAATGAAATATCACACATTCCAAAAAAATAAATTTATTTTCAAAATCTTGCTGTGTCACCCCTAATTCAGCATCCTCAGTTTGTCCTAAAATCTGCAGATCCAAGAATCTTTTATTGATTTTCATTTTATGAAAGTCTCGGATGGTAGAGTTTAGTGTCCGAACAATAATTTTTGTGTCTGGAATCCTGGCTCCTTTGAAATCATTTACTGTATGTCAGATAAGCGGTTGCCATTCGCCAAATGCCATCGGAAAACACATTTGGCGAACAGTTTTGATGGAGCTCTTGCCATATTAGTGATTTGGGATAAAATCAGACATGAAGATCCAAATATAATGGCATATTTCTGCCAAGAAACTCACGAGATTGAAAATCCAAAACATCCGGTTATTCTTTCTTCCTCGATCACGAAACGTTTTCTTTCATGGATTCTTCATCGTTTTCTTTCATGGACCTTTTGCCACCTATCGTATATTAATCAGATTAAAATGAAATTATAAACCAGGCTTGACATAATCCATGTCACTATTGTTTTCTTGATGAAACACATCGGAACTCATAGCCATTCATAGCCATTCAACCAAGCCACAAAATGTATGTATATTAGTTGTTCAACATGTTCAATTGTTTTAATATTTCCAGGCACTCGACCTTTAACATTGATTCACAAACTGTGACAATATTCCATTGGACATTATAAAACATAATCAGTCACCGAAAATTTCTTCCCCATTCTCTAGTTTTCACTCCGAAATCCTATGGCTTTCCTACATTGGCTATATTTATGATATGGCCCAAGAATCCCATTTTGATGGAAAAAGCAAACTGCCACTTGGCTTCTGTTAAAAAAAAGTACAGTATGCTGTGATATCTCAAGCATAAAAGAAAGTGGGCCCAGCACACAAACTGAGATTTTGAAAATCAACTTGCACCCACCTGAAAATCCATATGCAGCCACTTGAAAATGAAAAAAATCATGAAAGATTGGCATATTTTGACCAATTTTACTCTGAATTGTGAAAATGAGAATTTTGCACCTACCTGAGAAAAAATCCTGGTTAGATCACTGGTATGTGACTAACAGTAAGAGGCAGACTGCTCTGGTTCTAGTATAATCCCATAAGATTACTATACTATGCATTGTAATATCTAATATGGCCATTTCACATGTATTTTCAGTCAGAAGAGGATAGACAGTTACAAGAGGAGTTAAACCTGATGGTAGAAAGGCTAACAGTAAGTTAAAAAAAAAATTCTAATTACTAATTTTAGTTCAGACTATATTTCAAATACATTTATATATTTTAGAGAACATATAAAACTGCAGACTTTCGACAAGTTTCGAGCCTATGATTCTTTCAACATTTAATTATAATTGACAAGACTTGCAGTACTTATTCCATGCATTGTAATGTTGTTTGATTGTGACAGGAACCTAACCAGAATTTATATAAGGCGGCACTTGAGTCTCTTCGAACTTCCATCAGATCATCGACCACATCTATGACATCTGTACCTAAACCTCTCAAGTTCCTACGGCCCCATTATGACACCATGAAAAAAGTACATGAGAAAATCACAGACAATGAAATCAAGGTAATACTTACTAATAATGATATCAAAGGTAACATTAGGTAAACATCACTTTATTTTTCAGGATCGTCCATGATGAGTTAAACTTTATGCATCGTTTTTCAATGGTAAAATATTATTTAAGACATCATATTGGAGATGCTGCTTAGAATAGAGAATTTTATAGTATTTTTTAAAAGATGAATTAATTGTGTTTTTATGTTACCAGATTGTGCAACTCAGGGTGAAATAAATGAAGCATTTAATGGAGATTTTTGGACATATATAGTTTGTCTACGGCTAATCTGATGCTATCATCCAATCCCAAGACATAATGCATAACATGTTTTGATTGCAGAGATTCTGTGCTGATGTTGTCTCAGTCCTAGCAATGACTATCAGTGAGGAAAGAGAGTGTTTGAAATACCGACTTCTTGGCTCAAAGGAAGAAATTGGCTCCTGGGGCCATGAATATGTCAGGTAAACTTTATCATAGTTATTACTTATGTTACTTATGTAACTTAAAAGTAACTTTGCCTATGAAAATTATCTAGATTATATAAAACGTTTTGACCTGCGTAGAGAGTTTACTAAACTTAGAATAAGTGCACATAATCTCCAAATTGACCTCAGTCGCTACACAAGACCAAAACCGACACCTCTGGAGGAGAGAAAATGTGAAACATGCAATATTATAGAAAATGAAGAACACTATCTCCTTCACTGTACGAAATATAATAAACAAAGAAGTATAATGAAATGAAAATGCCAGTACAAGAAAATCCATTTATTTATTTGATGTCTCTTAAAGATCAAAACTGTATAAATGTAGCAAAATATATATTTACATCCAGTACCAATAGGTATATCTCTAGTGCACCAATGCATCATCATCATTAAAAGTAATACTAATAGTTATATAGTTTTTTACATGTAAATGTCTTCTTTTTTCTTCCTATATAATTGTTATAATTTTTGTTTGTACATGTACTTGACCCCAAGGGGTGTGAATGTACTTGAAGAATAAATGTAAATGTAAAATGTATCCATACTTTACAAACATATTGGTTAATTTTGAACCAAGTTAGAAATTCATTTGCACCAATTGTTCATTAAAATCATGGAAAATGTGGATATTCTGGACAAGACTGGTAAGCTCACAAGAAATATTTGTTGTCTGAAAATCTAAATTTTTACTTGTGAGATGGTCTCATTTTTTCAAATGCTAAAGATTTTCATTATTATATACATTTGGGTTATTTTCTATGTGTAGTTTTACTTGAAATTTATAAACCATAAAAAAGATAGGAAGATGAATTTGAGGGACTTCCCAATTAACATGATTCAACATTTACAATATCATGTTACATTTAATTTATATCGGAATGTTTGAAAAATTGGCAATATATGACACATCTTTTCTATTTGAGAAAATAACTTCCAAAACAGTGTCAGTATGATACAGAATGTGTTATATTCACTCAAAATATTGCATGTCTTTTATAGCATGGGTAAACCATGCCTTCTCTGACCTCCATCACTGGACATCACTGTGCAACAGATAGTTGCTATGAGTATTAGAAGGTGCCTTTAGTATAAACATGAATGCTTGTAGACATCTCAGTGGTGAGGTTGCAGCAGAATGGCAGGAGACAGATGATTCAAACAAAGAGAAACAGAAACAATTACTCCAGCTGGTCACTGATATTGTCCCATACCATATGGACCACAATGCAGAGGCAGAGGCCTGTGATTTACTTATGGAAGTAGAACGCTTGGACCTTCTTGAACAGGAGGGATATGTCAGCAAAGATGCACATGCTAGAGTCTGTCTCTATCTTACTAGGTATTGTCTCTATCTTACTAGGTATCGTATGTACTGTATTTTAAGCCATAGCTACGGAGGTTCTCAGTAGATAACATGCAGGAATAAAGATTATACATAAGTACATCTAGGGAAAGTATGGTTACAGTGTGTCTGTACTGATCCCTTTCCTCCATTTCCCAAAAAATATCAAACATGAATGTTTGTTTGTCCTTCTTTATGTTCCCCTTATATGCATTTTTAAGATTGTTAATTCTCTTCAACACCTTGTATTGCACAAACATGCCATCTGGTGAAACATCATAGAAACATAAAGCCCTACATTTTTTATATTTTATGCAAAAATAGAACATCAGATCTAATTCTCATTTTCAATATAATAGTATTCATACACCTGTGTATGTGATCATCAATTGCTTTCTGGTCCTGCACTCTGATATTGACTCCTATTGGTAAATAAATCTGCCTTTGTCTGACCTGCTTACCAGGTTCGTATAAAACTAAAATGTGGATAATAAATTGGTCCAAGTTAAGGAAGATATTCTAGTTTGAGAATGCGTTGATGGTTTTAGGTTTGATATATTAAAGAAGACGCAATTTATATGTTTTGTCCCTTGCTTTTGTTACACTGACGAACGACCAATGTTACACAGACAAATGTTTGTTTTGGAGCTTTTGTTACACTGACGAACCATTTTAACATTGTACATAAATGTGGCAGTTGATGGTCCCATTGACTATTAAAAAATTGATAAAAACTGACGTTTTGATAGGGGCATGATACTTGCTAATATCTTTAACAACTGAATACTCAACTGAAAAAATGTGTAAACTTGTACAAAACTTCGAGAGAACATATTTATTTGACATAAAAATAATACTAAGGATTCATTATCTCAGCTTCAGCTGATCGGGTTACATTTATAAGTATTTTCTACCATCTGGAATGAATGTGAGGGTCCTATTCATGAGGTAACTCATATTTTTCTTAGTCAACTGCTTGCTTTTTAATGTTTAATAGGGTCAAGATTGCAGTAAAAAATCCCATTAAGGAATATTATCACGTTTCATTTCATAATATATTCATGGGCACAGATCTAGCTCAGCGAAAAAGTGCCTAGTGTTCATTGGAGTATTGTTTAGCTTGCCGTTACAAGATAATTATACGGCGACCGTACCGTTTTTGAGATAACTGAATCTGAAGAGAGCTTCCACTGTAAAGCTACCTGTTTCAGAAAATGATTCTGCTCTACATAGTCTCGAAAAATCACTCTGCCATCTCTAAAAATTCTGTTTCGAACCAAACTTGTAAATGTTTCCTGATAGATTAGTGCTTACCCTATCGAGAATAAACCTTGATTCATTTATCAAACACTAGATGGCGTTGCGATGGGCCAGAAAAGGAAAAAATGCTATTTTATACAGGAAACCAAATAACCGCTAGTATCCCTACTCCGAACTATATTCATAGAGAGTACTTACAAAGGCTCGGAAACATGTATAAAAATACTAAGTAAAAACACCAAGTAAAGATCTAATCTCTTTACTTGATGCATTTGACTAGATTTTTATACATGTTACCGGGCCTAGTATGGCTACATATGTCCATGACATTCCATAGATCAACTTTCTCTATAATAGTATTCATCCGTCAGTGTAATCAAAGCTCTACATCAGTGTAATATTGGCAATATCGTCAGTGTAACAAAAGTGAGGAACTAAATTTGTGAATTTCGTCTTTGTTAACAAAACCTGAAACCACCAGCACATTCTCAAACTAGACTATCTTCCTAACTTTGAGCCAAATTATCATCCACAACTTGACTTAAGTAGGTGTAAATCGAGAAATATAAATATCTTATCGAATTCAAATCCCTGAAGTTGTTCCGCCATGATACACTGACGTATCGTCAGGGCAACTAAACATTGAAGAGCTCAATGAGTTACATGTTTTTGGTCAGTGTAGTCTAGAACTAGAGCTTTTTTGCTGTTTTTTGCTAAATACAATCTTCATATACTTAATATTGAAATATTGAATTGCATTTATGAAAGGAAGTTGTGTCTGGGTGAAATTAATTCCCAGATAGATCCGGTGAATATCAAGAAATTAAAGACATGCAGGAAGTAGAGGGGATGGCAAAGTCACATTGAAAAAAATTAACATCGCTTACATGTCATAACAATAAAATGTCCATAATCATTAAACATCATCATTTCTTTACATTGAACCATATTAATACTTAATTAATACAAAAACAGTAATTTCAATCAGTCATATAGGAAATGTCATTGAGATAACTTAATTTTTCTTTTGTTGTAGGGGGCACTATACACTTTTCAGTGTTTCATTCCCTTCATCATGTATGTATTTTTGTATGATATGTATATAATAGATTGAACAATTGAAGATGTTCTGTTTCAGTTGTGTGCCATATGTACCAGAACCAGAGAACACCAATCTTCTGAGAACTGCTCTTGCAATATTTCGAAAATACCAGAAATATCCTGAGGCACTGAGGCTTGCTATACAACTACATGACCTTGAACTTGTGGAAGAAATCTTTGTATCATGTAAAGAAGTGTGAGTAAAAATATTTTTCTTTTGAGAATATTCTTTATTTTTATGTACCTGATACAACATTCACGTTCATTCACTTGGAAAGAGGAAAGGGACAGAGAAGCGTAGGATTGAATTTTAGACATAGTCAAGATTCAAAAATATGTGATTGTGATTACTAAGAAAAAAACAGTATATAACCACATCAACTTTATATTAGAGCATTAAAAATTTTGTTGGCTGTATCACCCTTGGTATACGCAGCTAACGAAAATTGACCGGCACGGGTCAAAAGCTGGACCGGCACGGGTTAACGGTTTTATTTGAATTTAAAACAGCCATAACTTGCTCAATATTGACTTCCTCGTGTCTAATTTGAAATATATGATTCCTCCCGATGCTTTTAAGTACCCCAATTTTTTACAGATTTTTAAACGGACCAAGACTCTCTAAATGCGCATTTATGCTCTTTTCTCTCGAGAACGACTGTCTCATTTTCACGATAACTTTTATTTAGTACTTCTAACATATAAGATCTATTTTCCCCATCAAGGTATGATGTAAATGACATGCTTTTTACATATTGTGAGTTTCAATGACGCGCGTTTGATTTTATAAAAAATGCCAAACTTTGTGACAAAGAATTTCATCCTGCTTGCAGCGAGAAGACGGACCGGTTCGGGGCAATAGCATGAACATCATTCAGGAATCTTTATACATGTGTGTTACATCTATTATTACAAGGATCTAAAGTTTCAAATCTTCTCTTAGAACCTCTCCGACAAACCGTTACATGTCCAACTTACCTTCGGTTGTTCCATCGCTTCTTGGGACACTTCTAATAAAAATATTTATTGTATAACAACATTTATCCCATTCTACGACGCATTTGAGGTAAAAAATTAGGTTGGTAAAAGGCTCCAGAGCAAGTTGGATACAGCTGGAAATATATATATATATATATATATATCCCTCGGTCACTGCGGTCCATTGGGAAATACACATATTTCCCTGAGGATAAACCCTGTATCCAAAAACCTCCAACATAATCCATATTCACATGCCGGCTGAGCAGGCGGATGTATCTTCCCGCTTCACGTTAGACTCAGTTCTCATTATCTTAAATATCAAAGTGCCAAGTGCGCTGGAAAAATCAAGCCATTGAATATAAAGGGGCATGGGATAAACAGTTTTTCCTTTAGTAGGTTCTGAATATTGGTATTATCCTAGGACCATATTATTTATCTGCCCTTGAAACCTAGAACCTTATATAGAGTAATCTCTATTTATCCTATGCCAAGTAGTTTTAGGAAGATAAGTTAGCAAGATATATTCTCATCTGTATCCCGACTCTTAAGTTTCCATATCCAGAACCTACGTATCTCCCGCCATATCTCCCGCTCCCGAGCATACCTTTCCACTTTCGGCAATTCTAAAAATCTTCTGGGTATAGGATAAAGCAGTTATTTACGCTGGGTTTCGAAATGGGGTTTACTGCTCCGGAGATATGCATTTCCTACCCCTATATAAACTCCATATTAAAATCTCCCCAATGCATAATCCCTTTGTAGCCCATAACTAGGAAGGTAAATAGTATGTATAAGAGTAGGTGAATAATTTGTATCACTGAACATAGCAATTTCTGTTTTGAAAAGTGCGATATGAAATATATATTCTTTAGTTCTCCTAGTATAGCTCGATAACATCCAATCGCGTTTTTGTCTTTACAAAGTTTAATCACCACCATCTATTTTCTATCGAGAGTTAGCTTGAAATATCAAAACATTATAATATTCTCATACTTGTAGAACTAAAAATGCTTTCCTATTATCATTACTACAATGACGAATATTTGCTACATGGGTCACAAAAATATATTTTCAGTTTCCCAAATAATCGGATCTGGCATGAAAAGCATCCCGAGATGTGTAAATGATGATAAGATTAGTAAATAATTAGAAACGTTGTTATCTTTTTAAATCTTTGAACCTCAGTAAATTGTTCACTGCACGGGCAAATTTCATTGCAACTGCAAGAGAAGTGTCCATGTAATATCTATGCTTCTAGCAAATATGCCTCTGAAGGTATGTGAAAATAGGTTATGTGTGATCGGTTGAAATACAAGGTTTATCTCTTGGAATTACGTGTATCTCACTCGGTTCATCAATCCAACGGAATACAAAAGTATTTCTCTTTAAAAACTTACTGACCTCCGCGAACAGGTACGTAGATTGCTAGACATTGTTAGTACCTCAGTTGAAATACTCAATTTTGATTGGTCAATTAACGGTCAACAAAATGTATTGTTAGTACCTCAGTGTAAATACTCACATCTGATTGGTCAATTAGCGGTCAACATTTTTGCCTGTACCTCACCTGTGCATCATGGGATATCATATTATTGACCGCGTATGTTACTGTACTACACTTGTGAATTATGGGGAATATGACGTCACAATGTTTACAGAAAACAAAATTGAAGACGGACATTTTGTAAACGTTGATGAAAGTGATATTTTGACTTTGCTATACGACGAGTATAGCAAAAATACAAATAGAAACGCAAAATTAACATTAATTTACTACAGAGAGTCTAGCTACCACTGTCTTCTGATTTTCTTAACAAATTATTGCTGGCGTGGTTCGGAGAAAAGATTGTGAAATGATTGACGACTGTCGTCTATATGTGTATTATTAGTTTCTTCTGACTAACAAAACAATTGTAGACCTCTCCATTCGGTCAACCGTCAAAATCATATACCTCGACTGTAAACCTTGAAACTACTGTTGACCTCGACCTTCGGTCTCTGTCAACAGTAGTTTCTCGGTTTACAGTCTCGGTATACAATTTTGCCGGTTGACCTCTGGAGAGGTCAACAATTGTATACTGTTGACCGATACTGGGTACTGTTGACCGTTACTGGGTACTGTTGACCGCTACTCAGTACTGTTGACCGCTGCTAGGTACTGTTTCAAAATTATTATTTTTAAATCAGAATTGAAAAAAGAAATCGAAAAAATCTAAATCGTATTATATGTTTTTTTTTCGTGAAATATGATATCTTGATCAACTTATCAAATATTTCATCACGTATTACTAGTATTCGATTATTCTCAGTCAACAGTACTTTCAAGGTTTACAGTATCGGTATATATATCGTATACTATATGATTTCTATTAGCAGAGAAACAATAACTCAAGACAGAAAATATTTTATTCAAAAATATTGCAAATACGATGTAACATTGAAATGTCATGAGAAAAAATAAAACAGGAACACTAAAATGAGAAACATATACAATAACATGCCCTTTAGTGATAGTCTACATGTTGAAGTCACTTGTCGTTTTCCTGGTCTATAGGCCTACATGCTTGTCCTCTTTTTTTACAATGCGCAAGAAGATTTCTTCTTTGTTTGAATTTTGCATGGCATGTACAAATGTAATCCCTTCTTTTGCTGTGCACATCTAACTCATGTTGTTTTCTCATTCTCCTGCTCGTGCATACTTTTTTACAAATCTTGCATTTCTCAGGCATCTTTTGGATGCAGTTTTCTTCGTGTCGTTTTCTGTTACTGTTATTTGCAAAAACCTTTTCGCAGCTACCGCATTTTATTTTAGTTTTATTGTTATCGTGTTTTGCAAGGTGAGCTAAAAAATTATCCCTTCTTTGAAAATTTCGTCCACATTCTGAACAGAGAATTGTATTATCTTTTGTGTGCATATCGTTATTATGTCTGATGAGAGCAAAATACTGGCAGAAAAACGTGCAAATATTGTCCTACCACAAGACCCATAGCCATTGATATTAGTGGGCATTTTACTGCTTTAAATTGTAAACTTGGTAACCCAGTAGACTTTTATTTCTTGGGATTAACTCCAGCAAGTAATTTAGAAAACATACGTTTTGTAACACTCATATTAGTAAGTTTTCGCAACTCCCATATAGCACTCCCTTATAACGTATTACTTATGATCGTGTGTATTAAAGTATAGGGCAGTATCTATACGCAAAAACATAAGTTATGCTATAAGTGAGTTGCGAACACTCTCTATTTTATTGAGCTATTCGTATTATCGCCGATATTTTAGAGTCTCTAGAAGATTATATACCTGGCACACAGTCTGTACCACAGACATTGTCGAAAATATATACAGAATATCACATCATTTTGAGTGATATCATTTTTATCGCCGAGTTGATATCAAATATCAACACGAGTGAGCGAAGCGAATGAGTGTTGATATTTGATATCTACGAGGCGATAAAATGATATCACGAGAAATTATGTGATATTGGGTTTATCCCATGATTACGATCACCTTGTGCTATAGTTCGTCATAAATACAATTTTTAATCGTTATTTAGCAGCCTTCTAATCAAATTATATACACAATCGTAATTTAATACACCAATGAAACTTAAAGAGAATAAATTAATGGACCTTTTTTCTCAAAAGAGAATAAATTATCTGACCTAATTCCCAACAATATTGTGGCGCGAAATGCAAATGTGATATCACACGGATATGCGTGAGATAAACGATATCACACGCATATGAGTTTGATAAACGATTTTCTGGAAAATATCACACGAATTTCAATGATATCAGAAATATCAATAGCTGTTATTGTACAGATAACACATTAATCGTGGGATAATAAGATGTATTGTATTATTAAAAACAGTTTGCCAGAAGGTTTGAAAGTACGAATGCATAGCACACATCAAATTAGCATCGCAAGTGCGACCTCTTCATTGCAAATCACACAAAGTCTATCTTGAACAGCAAGGCGTTCATATCTTCCAGTTTCAATTTGGAAAACAATGGTATTATTGTTATCGCATATTTTGTCTGGTGCATTTGTTCGAAAAAATCAAGGCACATAGTAAATGAAAGAGGATAATATCAGATGATATCGATATTAGTCATGTTGACTTTGCTGCTATAATACTTTTAACGACAAGTTATATTTCATACCTCTATGTATCTAATTCAAAATAATATCCATCAAGAACTTAGGTCTTCAATGAGTTTTGATCGAATGATACGCTGAAAACTTTTATTGAGAGCTGAACATTCAGCATCAATTGTATTGTGAAATTAAACATTAAAAAAAACTAGATTTCATATGTTTTCCCATTGTTATTAGCTTGGTTTGTTCGTTATTTTCTCTTCAGTAACAATTTAATGTAATAAGTCTGTCAACTTGGATTTTATTTGTTCTGAAAGAGAAGTTCAATTGGTCCGACATTCACTCTGATGATATATTTTTTAGTCTTGGTCGCATTGCTGGTATAGCAGTATCAATGCAATTGTAAAATTCATAATCCATGGCTAGATACTAGGTAGCAACCTCAGGTTTCATTTGGTATGGAAATTATGATTTGATATCAAGAATTAAAAAAGTTATAGCATATTTTGAAAAAGTGGCGTTTTTTGTCTTACCTTGTATTACTTCCTAGATCTTCAATATTTACGGTAAAACTAAAAAGGGAAAGAAGAAGACCCCGAGCTATGTCTAGCTCAAATAAGCCCCGATTCCTCTGCCAGCGCCCTGCCGATTGAGTATTTTGTTCAGAAATGAATGCAATTCTGAACAAAAATAGAGCAATGACCTGATAGCATAGATGGGCAATATTCTAACCATTGGAATTTACAACTGACATGTAACGGTCTATCGGAGACGTTTTAAGAGAAGATTTAAAACTTTAGATTCTTGTAATAATAGATGTAACACACATGTATAAAGATTCCTGAATGATGTTCATGCTATTGCCCCGAACCGGTCCGTCTTCTCGCTGCAAGCAGGATGAAATTCTTTGTCACAAAGTTTGGCATTTTTTATAAAATCAAACGCGCGTCATTGAAACTCACAATATGTAAATAGCATGTCATTTACATCATACCTTGATGGGGAAAAATAGATCTTATATGTTAGAAGTACTAAATAAAAGTTATCGTGAAAATGAGACAGTCGTTCTCGAGAGAAAAGAGCATAAATGCGCATTTAGAGAGTTTTGGTCCGTTTAAAAATCTGTAAAAAATTGGGGTACTTAAAAGCATCGGGAGGAATCATATATTTCAAATTAGACACGAGGAAGTCAATATTGAGCAAGTTATGGCTGTTTTAAATTCAAATAAAACCGTTAACCCGTGCCGGTCCAGCTTTTGACCCGTGCCGGTCAATTTTCGTTAGCTGCGTATACCAAGGGTGTGTATGAAAATGTAAAAATAATATATGTCCACATATTGCATTATTGTATCTTTATGAGAGCCCAAAAATAAATTCTTCATGGGTCTTTAGTTTTTGTGTCACCACCAAAAGTGGTGACATATTGTTCTTGTCTCCAACTTTTTTGTGGACAGTGTTTGGCTGGTGTTTGACAGTCAGTGTCTGTAACAAATGGCAGATGATGAAATCTATATGTTTAAAATAATAATTACCAGACTATGAACTTATTGAACGAAATTTGACACATTTTATAACAATAATTTCAAATAAAGAAATTACTTATATGTCGGTTTTTGGTAGGTGTACCCTTCAGACAGAATCATTCTATTGTCTACTTTACCCAGTTCAACATCAAATTTCATTGACTTTAAATATAAACTTTCTGATTAATACCTTGTGTTTTTGAGAACACCAATTCATTTTGTTTTTAAAAACTAATCAGATCTGCTGAACTGATGAAGTATATCAGATAACACAAACACATTACAGATTACGCAATAACTAAAATGTTTTAGAATGTAATATGAAATAGGGGGAATGTCAATATAAACATAGCTTGTTCGCTCACATGGTGCAATAAATTATTATTTCATCTCTCTTTCAATAAGAGTGACATGATTTTTTTATATCATATCAATACCAATTTCAAGTATATCAATTTTAATATCAATTACATAAAAAGCCATCTATGACTCCCAGTTCCAAAACTCACCTTTTTCATAATCACCACAACTTTTATCGTTAAAGTACACCATGTGGGCCCCATACCCATGGTACTATTCAATGTTTTATGTTACAGCATTTGATTAAATACATGTATTTATGTATAAATATGAGTACAGGGACTTGAATGTCATATATTATGTTACAGACATCAAAGGAATACCTTTCCTTTGTGTTACATAAGTCTCTGGTTCACTAGAACTGGGATAATGAGTTATTTTAATAATGGCAAATGATATACTTTTTAAGTGCAGAAAATAATAAAGTTGAATCTAAAACATTTACATATTATGTGGTACTATCTCAGCCTAATTTGTTAATCATATATGCAAATGATTGTTTAATGATTCAATGCAAGTATGTAATTTTTCCTGATGACACAATTATAACTTTCAAACAAAAGTACAAACAACCTTATAATGTAATTAAATATAGAACATTTGTAAAGTATCAAGGGTAACAGGAATTTTCAACCAACTTTTTTATTGCTGAAAGATTTGTATACTGAGTTACAGAAGTCAGCTCCTGAGATATGCTCTGTGTGGTCACCAATGTTTTGTATCTTGTGTTACAGGAGTCAACAGAAGCAGCTAGCCTTCATGTTAGGGCGTCAACAGATTTTCCTCGAACTTAATGATGAGATGGATGAATTTGATGAGCTTGTGGAAATTCAGTCAAATACTCATCTAAATAATAATTTTCTAGCATTGGCTCGTGAGGTAAGTGTATCCAACAACATCTATGGAATTAAAAAATGGTTTGAGTGCACATATTATATGCATCTCAGTTTGCATTTGCAAGGATAGCATGGAATTAGACATTGACATGAATATGGAACAATCAACATGATAATCCAGTGAAAATTTCACTAGAAAAATCTGAAGGCCATACTTCAGTATCATCAGTATTCAGTTCATAATACACCCCAAAATGCAATCTGATTTTCCACGCCGTTTCGGTGCCAAATTTCGGTGCCGTTCCGACACCAAATGGACTGACTAGTCCGGTGGCAAATTTTGGTGTCAAAGGGTTTCTGTGCTGGAACGGTGTCGAAATGGTGCCGGAACAGCGCCAAATTTTTTCGATGCCGAAACGGCGCCGAATTATATTGGCTGTGTATGTGGAGAAAACTGGTCCACTGTTCATAACCCCAGGAAACCGACAACAATGAACAAAAGTAAATGCTTGTTTTGTTGTGGGTAAGGGGACATGTTTATGACGTCACCTATCACTATAGAATCAACAGTGATGTGTGACTTTAAAATTATGTTTTTTAATTGCTGATTTCATTTATGTGATACATCATAATCACAATCACATCTGATCATAGGATGACTTGCCTTGACGATTTGCATTAAGAGTTAATAAAGGCGGGGCTTAGCGAACTGGAAGTCATGTGAATGGTTCAACCTTGTTCCATAATATGAATGGCTCCGCTCACTTCATGGGGGCCTTCGTTAAAACAGAGGATCAATTTATTTTTATATTTCTATCAGCAGAGTGGGTTGGGGCCTTATCTTTCTTGTCCACACGTTTCCAGATAAACTTGACTGGTGGATGGTTAGATTCAAAATGTTCAGGGATGTTTCTTGTCATGGAAATTTTAAGATGCCCTTTTTATTTTTGAGTACGATAATGTTCACTGTGTACCTTGTCCTTATGTTGTAGCTTTACAAATGGTGTCTGTGTCACACTGACATGTTACTGTTGAGAACAATATTCTAAGATTGTAAGATAGTAAATTCAGGGATCTTGATATGATATCTGAAAGAACCAATGAAATGCTTATTTAGGCATATAATAACTAAAAGCCCTCCCTCTACAGTCATGTCATCCATCTTGGTACTATTAGAAGTGGACTGTGTACTAGTTTTCTTCATATTTGGTGAAAAATATAATGATGCACATTATTATTTATTTTCAGTTGGATATTATGGAGCCAAAAATACCAGAAGATATATACAAAAGTCACTTAGAACCAAACAGTAAGTTACTGAACTCATCGTATGCTTGTACAGTAAACTTTTAAAGTGTAAACAGATTCTCAATCGGATTGTACCTCACCGATCTCATTTTTATTACACCGCCAAGAAGTAATGACATGTTTCACAGCCACAATTTCTGGTGATAAGTGTTTGGTATACAGTTAAATTGGCTTCTATAACAAATTGTTCCTATGAAATTACAACCAGGTTGGTATTATAGTCTACCGAGAAGTTGTTACTTTGGGCACATCATAAAACAAACACTTTTAACCAGTAGTCAAAAATGCATGATGCATAATGAATAATTAAACTATTTCTGGGACAGGGATGGGTCTTTAAATTGAGATTGAACAGGCAATTAATTATCATGTACCATGTATAAGCAATGCATATCAGTCTCAAATTGTTAGAGAAAGCAAGTTTTGTTCCAAAATCTTTTACAAGTTAGGCTGTTCTTTTACAAGTTAAGCTGTTATTTTACAAGTTAAGCTGTTTTCATTTTAGAGTGAAGAATACTACACTCTGCCACTTCAATGATAGAAAATAAAATTTTCTGTTCTAGGACCTTCAATCGGGCCAGTAAATGTGGATTCAGCTCGTCAGAACCTTGCATCTTCATTTGTGAATGGCTTTGTCAACACAGCATTTGGACAAGACAAACTTCTTATGGAAGATGGCAATAAATGGCTTTATAAGAATAAAGAACATGGTATGCTGAGTGCTACTGCATCACTGGGTCTGATTCTACTCTGGGATGTTGATGGTGGATTAACGCAAATTGACAAATATTTATATTCATCGGAAGATTATATAAAGGTAATTGATACTATTCATCCCGCAGAAAAAAGTTTGAATATGTAGATGAGGAAGTCCTTTATCCATTCACTCGTCAGTTTGTTTTGTCTGTCTGTGATAACTCTAGTTGTAGTATGGTTCAAATTCTATAGATGAATACCTCATGGGCACAGGACCTGCTCAATAATGAATTTCAATTTCTAATATGACCACTGAATTCAAAATAGCTGCTCATGACAAATGCAAGTTGTCAGATTTTAGAGGCAATTTCCTCAAGGACATAGAACCATTCAAAATGGCAGCGATATTTAGTAAAAAATGTTTCTTTGGGATAATTTGAATGTCTCATTTACCAACTTAGGTCATATTTTAAACCCTGCTTTAAAGATTTACAACCTTTATATTGAAGTGACTCTTGTTTAATTTTTTACTTTTGTTCAAATTGTAACTTTTCCTTAAAAGTTGACAGTGAGTGCTGGTTGGACACTATATGTTTTTAGTAGCATTTTCTCCGTGGTGTTGCTGTTTATCAAGTTTTATGTATTAACAGCAGTTTTAACAGTTTTACCAAATTCACATCCTGTGGGCTGACATTTATAGTCACATGTTTTTCCATGTATTGCTCATAGCAGACTACAGAGACCACAGATTGGTGAGATATCATATTCTTAGAGTTAACAGTTAATCTTCAGCTTACCTAATGGATCAATTATGTTTTGATAAGACAGAATTTATCAGCCTCATTTATAATATGATATTTTAAGTGGAAATGTATTTTCATGCCACAATTGTAAAATATCTTCTTGTCACCTTCCACATGGGCCCTTTTGAGACAGCATTAAATCGCGTAGTCTCCTGGAGTCCCTCCCTAATAATTTTTAAGAGTAAAATAAAAGCCTTTATACCATGGCCAGAGCAATATCAGGATGTAATAGCAAGTGATAAATCACATATTTGGGACAGGGATGATATCAGGATCAGAGGGATGATATTGATATTGTCCAGGGTAAATTCAAAATTTTTTCATTTTTTCGAAAAATTTTCATTTTCTCAAATTTTTCATTTTGAAATTTTTTTATTTTTTCAAAGGGGACATGCCATTAAGAGGCCATTCTCGGACTTAGTCATTTTTTCAAAAGTGTGAAAATAAAAAACCTCATGAAAAGTTCTTAAAATATCCTGAATAACAAGTTGAATATATATATTTAATGATGGCACAAGCAAAAGTCTGAAAATTAACATGAAATGAGGTGTTTTGACAGATGCAAAAAATGGTAGATTTGTGATGAAGAAATCGAAGTTTTTGCAGTAACAACACAATTACCTCGAAGTTATCAGTTATGAGAGGCTGAGGACTAAACTTGACATAATACTCAATCACAGATTATCAGTAGTATCTAACTTCAGCCGGACAGCCACTCAAAATGTATATGGAGCCCATGAGATACATTTTTCTCAATTGAAGTCACTATTTCTGTTTTTAGCTTCAGAGGATAGGAGGTACATGAACATGCCAAGTTTACCTAGATCACAAGCCTTACCACAAATATAAAGTATATAGGAATAGAGTTTATATGTGTGAGAACCTTAAACTGCCCATTTTATTGGGGATGGGACTTGTGATTCATGTGTATTTCTAACTTCTTCACATGTGCATGGATCTAAAATTGTGGCAGCCATCTTGGATTTGTCATATATGTGGACATAGTTTTGGTTGTGCTGAATTTGTTTCAAAATAACATTTCTTGTATACATTCGATAAGTGAGATAGGCATTTGAAATTAAATACAGATAGTATACTTGACATTTAATGCAGTAAACAGTAATACAATTTATTCTTACGTAATAAGTGAGTCCAGACAAAAAGTTGTTATTGTGTTAGTTTAACTGGGCATAAATTACACTCATTGGGCTTGGTTTTCTTGATTGGCTTGGATAAAATGTTGTTCTATTTATTCAGAAAAGGAGTATAGTTCAATATACAAGTTCACATTCATCCCATCCTCTTGTAGAAATGAATCTCATATTATTTCATCTCGAATATGGAACACAAAAATATAATAAAAAACAAGTTTCTATTAATTGCAAAAGTTAGCTTCCATGTCATGACTGAGTTTGGGTTCCGCTTCTAGAGAAAAAAGATATTCCCTCTGGAAATATCGTATTGACCATGGCTATACACTCCATATTTAATCCTCCTTGTAAATAACATTGATATCTGGATATACAGTATATATATGACATCGAGGATCTGGAGTTTGGGTATTGTGAGACATGAGTTGCTACTTTTTGAATCTCATACTCAATATTCTTTCTTTAAAACCTCATATTTAATATTTTTGGAGTGGTAATTCAATTATTTACCTATTTGTTATTCTTTATCCCATAGTTGGGCTCTTCCGCTCTGTTAGGTAACATGAAAACATATTTATGATATTTTGCAAATGCATGGAAAAAGTGATGTATCTTTGGAATACGGCAAATATTTCACAGATATCACCTTTTGCCAGGGATTTGAAAACTACCACCAATATGATGTGTTTTGTTACATAGTGATTTCATGACATCACGGGGATGAATGAATAAATGGATGTTGTTTTGATATGTTTTGTTTAGTTTATAGGTGAACTATGGGATAAATAGAACATCCTATGAATGTTCGTGATATCGTGTTAATACACTCATTGATATCAATATCTGCGCTAATTGGCTATACTAACTTGGCAAGATACTGATATCAACTCGGAGATAAAGATAAAATCATTTAAAATCATATGATATCCTATACATATCCTTTACTGTGCCACAACTTTCTCATATGTTATATTTTGGCACAGGCCATCATTATTTTTCCTTGAATTCATGCTTTTGTTCCTCGTTTTAGAAATGAGAGGAAATCTTTGATTTTCCTTGTATTTGAGTTGCTTAAATGTTCCCCTGTTATGTGATAAAATTCAATAGTACCCACTACAGTCACAGTTGAAATGTACCCATTGCTAGCCCAGAACCTACCAAAATAGCATTTGCATTTTGCCAATATTGCCCTATGTGCTTTTCCATGAAAGTAGTTTTAATCGTATCTTTTCTTCAGTATTTCATATATTACATTTTAATATATATAAATTGGTTTATATCTATATATTATTTACTTAGACAGCAATAAATAAAGAATTTTTTGTAAAAACACCAAAAATGGTATATGATCTTTAAATGACTGTTGTGTGAAGATCAAAGCTCAAAATTCGCTGAAATTGTAATTTTATAAAGCACAAATGATTTTTCTTCAATATGATATGCATTATTATCAGATATCTTTGGGGGCTAAAAAGGGCCCTTATTGACACCCGTCCTTTCTGGGTTTAAAATAATTTTAAATTTTCAAATTTTTCTCTCCTAAATTCTCAGTGCACATTAGGGCGGGATAATATGTAACTTTGATGTTCCTAAGACTTCAAACATTTTTTCTCTCATTCAACAGTGGACTTGCTCTTGATAGTGATGTTGGTCTTGACCATGGTATAAGGTCGTTATTCACCTGTCAGGATGATATGAGGAATATCCCTCTCATGATATCAATATTGATATCACCCTTGTATTATTCCCCATATCAAATCCCTCCTGGTGAATAAATTCTTTCTACGCTCAAAATCTTTTAAACATACCTTGGTCAAAATTGGATCTGAGATCATTTCATATCAGCCTAGATTTAAAAAATCATTACATTTATTTGAGGGTGAAACTAAAAGTTTCTAACATTAATATTCCATAGTTAGTCAGTTTGGGATCATAGTTCAGTGGCAAAAGATTCACATATTTCCCTCTGAATAAACCCTGTATCTGATCATTCCCTGAAATATATAACCCTTATACATTTGCAGGCTGGTGCCCTTCTGGCGTGTGGTATTGTCAACAGTGGAGTGAAGAATGAATGTGACCCTGCCTTAGCTCTACTATCAGACTATGTTCTACATAACAACAATATGATGCGAATAGGTAATATAAATCAATATATGATTAACATAAAGTTTTGTAACCTTTGGAAGTTAGGCAGGAAGCCATTGCTTCAAGCGAAACTTTTCGTAAATAATGATTCGTAAAAGTAATAACAAGTTGGATTACAAACTGGTGAATTTCGTTCGTTGCTATAAATTTCATATACTGCTAAATGTTAAAAACTGTTGAGTTTTTTAAAAAACAATAATGTTAAGAACTTTAAATTGATATAAAATATTCATGTTTTGATTGAAATTATCATTATTGTAATTATTACATGAGGGTTACATAACATTTAATAAGGCCCACTATACTAAATTTAGAAGAAAAAATATAGAAAATAATCATTGAAACATGTTACTCACACACTCACTCAAATATGACACAAAGTTTGATTTGCTTTAATATTGAACCAAGAAAAAAATAACTCGCATAGAAAAAATCATTTGAAGTCCAGAGATCATTAGACATGCAAGTGCATGTTTTAAATTACTGTTGATTTAAAAGATGGTGACACTTGAAATGAATGTATCATGTAATACAAACAACTTTGCCATCTTTCAATGACATTGATATACTTGATATATGAAGCTTGACAGATCGAAAATATTTTTTGATAATTTATTGTTAGCTTTGATGTGGTCCGTTTGAGCTGTTGTTGGTGTCAAATGAAAGATAAGGTTCTTATGAATACATTGGACATACTATGAAATCCAACTGTAAGTTTTTATTTTGCCCAAAAAGTTAGAAAATACGCAAAGTGGGCCTCTAATCCTCATATTAAGAATAGAATAAATCAGTTATTAAATGCTCGATTTCTGATACAGCGCATATCCCTCCGTAAATACAATATATCTACCCGAGGGGCCGTATCCCCCGGATATACCCTGTATCAAAAACCTCCCATTAGATAACCTCTATTTATCCTATGCCAAGTAGAGTTTTAGGGAGATAAGTTGGTAAGATATATTGGATATTGGGTTCATCCCTCGTGAGATACTAACTCGCAAATATCGCGAAAATTAAATGCACGGGAATAATACGTGTTTTACAGTATGCACATCTACCTTCGGTCCCTACGGTCCCTCAGGTAGATATGCATATCTCCCTCTGGATAAACCCCATATCCAAAACCTCCCAGTACATAACCCTTATGTATTGTATTTTTCAGGTGCTATTATAGGGCTGGGTCTAGCCTATGCTGGTTCCAATAGAGAAGATGTCCTTAGTCTTATATTACCTGTGATGGCAGATTCCAAGTCAAATATGGAGGTAGGTTCTAAAAGTTCTTGCACTTTTTGGATTCACTCCGAAACTTTTCAGTAATGGAAGTTACCATGTAACAGTTCCTAAATGTGTTTGCTATGTGAATCTTCACTTTGGCCCACTGTATACTCTCAAAACGGTCGATTGTGGTAAATACTAATATTCATTTAAATATTATTTATACAATATTCATGATATGAGAATAGTGAAATCGAAAGTTTCCTATCTGAGATTTTATGCTTTATTTCTTTAGTTTTTAAAAAAAACATCTAAGTTAGCAAAATTCTCTTGGTCAAGATTTTACATTTGAATCCGAATAACCAAACATTAATTACAAGAGTCCATGGAAGCAAACTGATATGTCAAGTCCAAAAAGGCAGGAAAAGTTCAACATCGACCGCCATTTGTTGCTCTTCTAAATATGGTTGGCAATTGACTCCCAGGGGGGTTTAGCAATGCTTTAGATCTCCAAAATAGAGACCCAAAATGTAAAAAGGCTGTAAAAAAGATTGCTAAATAAACTTAATAACAGGCAATATACTTTCATATATTGGCTATATGGGGACATGCCGCTAAAGTGGGTCACTTTTTCGCCGAAAAATCCCTAGATGTGGGTCCCATTTTGAAGAAAAAACCCTATATATGGGTCCCATTTTGATGAAAAAAATCCCTAGAACTAGGTTTACTTTTTGAAAAATCCTAAAACTGGGTACTGTTTTTGAAAAAAGTATTTTTGAAAGAAAAACCCTAGATGTGGGTCCATTTTTAGAGAAAAAAATCCCTAGATGTGGGTAGATGTTTTGAGCCTCAGCGGCACCCCCTGTACAAAAATTTGACCAGTACCCCCCAGGCTGTAAACAGACTCAGCCACATTTTCGGCCCGACTTGACACTGATAACCAATAGAATAGAATGTATAATATTACATTAGTGGCTTCATAGCTCATGCAAGGCCGGAATACAGATATGGCCTTGGAAGAAGTGGAGCTAACAGCCAGAAATATGAGATGTATGAAGAGTGAACATGATATTCTGCTCATGCCAAGTAGTAGGCTGATACCATTTTTTTTGATTATTTTTGCTGTGAGGAATAGGGTTTCAGCACCAGACATCTCACTCGGCAAAAATATTTGTAAATTCTCTAATAATTTATTAAAATGGCTTTGAGCAAATGGTTACAGTTCTCATACTTATGATGATGATGGTAATGATGATGATGAAAATGAAGAACAAGGAAACAGCCTAAATAATTATTGAAAGTCATATCATGCTGAAGAGTTAGCTATATATGATATCGCAGTTGTAGTATATGTATTGTCAGTTTCATGAAGCATCTACAATTTTACTCAATCTCTCAGGGTAATAAAGATATACCTCCTCAGGATAAACCCTATATCCTTTCCTGTAGACCTCAACTCTTATACAGAAATATCTTATTCATATTACCAAGACAGCTTTGTTGAAATAGGATAATCTAAAAGCCTCATTAATAGCTACTAGTGATATATCTGATCCAGACCCACTCACTCATACTTGTTAAAGGCCCCGTATAAAGTTTAAACGGCTTTGGCTTATATTGTAGTCTTACCAAATGTTAGCAAAGTGTGATATGTGAAACTTTTTTTTTTATTAATTTCAAAAAGTGGTTTTTGATAGACTTTTTGTTCCAAAATTTGTGAATTTATTTAAAACCAACTTTTAGAGGTCACGCATAACTTCTTATTAGCCACAATTCATACCAATGCATAGCATTCATCCTCCCGTGTTTTTTGCCGAACAAATCAAGAAAATCGGTTCATAAATAAGCAAGAAATGAACTTATCAGTGCATGAAAATGGTTCTGAGAAAAATGCATTTCAAAATTTTAGTTCTCATAGAAACCAATGGTACAATGATATCTAAAATATAATTTATTCTTCCTTTTAACCTGGTTAGACAATCATCATTGGTTTTTTATGAAAATCTAACATATTTAGAAAAGATTGACATCGAAAAAAAAATTTCAATTTTTCAAAAAGTTTTTGGTACCTTAGTGACATCACTAATGTTTCAAAATATTTTTGATATGCTAAAACATTGAAGTGGCCCATTAAATATGGCATTTTATTATTGAAATAGTGTGTCCTTTGTTCAACCTTTGCATTGGTGTTAAAAAGATAATCTTTTTTGAAATGCATTAAGAAATATTTGATGATTAAGAAATTTCAACTTTTTTTGAAAAATGGCGGGAAATTTGAATATTTGAGAAATGAAATGATCACAACTTTTTTTTCAAAAATTTTTTTTGTTCAAAAATCTCTAAAATCACTTTTTAAGTCTTGACAAATAGTAAATGAATGATAAAAAAATATTTTTAAACTTTAGACGGGGACTTTAAATGTTTAGGACTTCCGGTTAAACCAATATTTGCCTACACAGCTATTATTATATAATTTATAACCTGTGAATCAGAAATTTATTTTCTGTTATTGCAATAAAAGCGATTAAGCTTCTGTTTCCTGTTTTTATTGGATTCACATAGACAGTTATTCTATATAATTGATACTGAGATTTGACTAGTTTTGCTTGGGGTGTAATAGCAAAGTGGCAATTTGCTATATATAAATCCTACTTAAGGATGTCCTGTTTGAAATTGAAATTGAACAATATGGACCCTAAACCTTTAATTTTTAAATTTAAAATATGAAGTACCCTGCGTGCAGTCTAGTTAAACTACACTCTGCCTAGTAGAGACCATATTACAGTTTAGTAGCCCCGCCCCCACGACGGGTACCGGTGACAGTTTGGGTAATAAATCACTTTTGACCTACGCGCTGACCTTTCTTCCACCAATCAGCGAGCTTGAAGAAACATACGCCAAATGCGTTTTAATTAAATATGCGCATGTCATTGGTCAATTCCGGGCTCAACGATGATGTCAGAAGGAATGACCATATATAGAACGTCGATCAAATTTGGCCGACGAACAATGATTGGCGCGGTGAGTTCACAGGTTTATTTTAGTTTGAAAGAGTGAAGACGAAGCTCTCTTTTAAGAATTGAAGTCAAACGAATGCAAAGGGTAAATATGAAGTGTACACCATAACTAAAAAATGCTAAATTCTCTGTCTGTTCCTCCATCCATTTGTCAAATACCAAATACCAATTGACATATTTGATTCAAATTTTATAAGCTGATACAAGAGGAGGGAAAAATCACAGAGCTTAGAGATGAACTTTTAATTACCTCTCTTGCTTACCACCTTTGTTTGTCCAAATTTCCACCCTCTAGTTTCTGAATACTACACCTCAATGCGATGTTTTAATTGATATAAGCATATTCCTTACACCTTTCTTTATCTTGACATGACAAGCTATAATATCAGGAAACATACCAGAAATTAACATCATATGATTTTAAGATTTTTTACAAAATTTTGAATAAGGTCATTTCACCAATCGTTGACGATGGTCATCTCTATATAAATTTTCATCAAAAATATGGTCATCTCTGAACCCTATTCCCCCTCTTATGCTGATACCGTATTGGCATATAGGCCCTCTGCTTGAGAAGGAATTTCTAATATGGCCTCCGTTTGTCCTAAAAAGATGTAATCTTTGATAACCGTTTTTCATGAATAAATGTAATTTTTGATAACTTAAATATCAGATATAGTATTTTGTCCACATCTTTTAGGCTCAATATATCTAATGGAAATTGGACCTTGCTTGAAAAGAATTTTCAATATGGCTGCTCATTTCAAAATGGCCACCATTTTTATTAGCTCACATGGTGAGCTTTTGCAATCACTCACTTGTCCGTCTGTCTGTCCGTGCGTGCTTGCGTCCGTCCGTCCGTCAACAATAGTGGCACCTTATAAAACCGCTGTCGATAGGATTTCCGTTTTAAGTTATTTTTGTTCAACATCAATACAGAAAACTCCCCTGACTCCTGGTTCAAAAGCTCGCCTATTTTCAAGATGGTCACCATTTTTGTCTTGTGAAATTCATTTTTGACCCATTTCCTAGCTTTACAAATAATTTCAGGTGTCCTGCATTGTTAAAATCCATGTCAATGTGAAGTGTAGTTGTATGAAATAATTTTGTAACAAAAAATCAGCAAATCAGCATTTTTTTCAGCCATTTTAGTTAACATTGATTTGTCCATCTGTCTTGTGAAATCCACTTTCGGACCTTTTGCCTTAAAACCTATGTGTTAGGATTCCCGTTTTAAGTAATTTTTGTTCAACATCAATACAAAAAAACTCCCCTATGACTCCTGGTTTAAAAGCTTGCCTATTTTCAAAATGGTCGCGGAAAAAAGTTATATCCGTTTTTTTAAATTTTTTATTTGTTGTCATTTTAGCCATCATTCACTTTTGAGCAACACCATGTGAGCCCAGTACCCACAGTACTATTTTTTTAGGAAAAGTAGAATTCATGATAACTTAAAAACCATTATTTTGTATTTAGTTTAAATTTTAAAGGTTGATGCCTTCTACCCGAGAGGGAGTTTCTAAAATAGTGCCATGAGTGTAGATTTTGTCAAAAAGAGCAATAGCCTTTTCAAAATGATGTGCGATATGATAAAATGTATTTTGTTTGCTGGAATCTGCTGCTCTGTATAAAAAATATGATATCCATTTAAAGGATGAAGAGTACTTCAAGCCAATTTTTTTTTTTATTTAGGTGATAGGCATGTCCGCTCTGGCTTGTGGAATGATTGCTGTGGCAACATGTAATGGTGAAGTTACATCAACAATTCTACAGACCCTCATGGAGAAATCTGAGACAGATCTGAGAGACACCTATGCCAGGTATCTCGCACTAGGACTTGGTCTCACCTATTTAGGTATGTCTTGTTATGTCATATCATGTAGATTTTGTCAAAAGAAGACTTAAATAATGTCATATCATGTAGATTTTGTCAAAAGGAGACTTAAATAATGTCATATCATGTAGATTTTGTCAAAAGGAGACTTAAATAATGTCATATCATGTAGGTTTTGTCAAAAGGAGACTTACTGTAAATACTGTCATATCATGCAGATTTTGTCAAAAGAAGACTTAAATAATGTCATATCATGCAGATTTTGTCAAAAGAAGACTTAAATACTGTCATATCATGTAGATTTTGTCAAAAGGAGACTTAAATACTGTCATATCATGTAGATTTTGTCAAAAGAAGACTTAAGTAATGTCATATCATGTAGATTTTGTCAAAAGAAGACCTAAATAATGTCATATCATGTAGATTTTGTCAAAAGAAGACTTAAATAATGTCATATCATGTAGATTTTGTCAAAAGAAGACTTAAATAATGTCATATCATGTAGATTTTGTCAAAAGAAGACTTAAATACTGTCATATCATGTAGATTTTGTCAAAAGAAGACTTAAATAATGTCATATCATGTAGATTTTGTCAAAAGGAGACCAATAGTGCCTGACTATTTCTATTAAGAAATTATTTTGGTGAGATATGGATCTCCAGGGAGTTGCTATTTTTCTACTTCAATATGTATTCTAGTTCTTGTAGTTCAATGACAGGCTTAAGTTAAATGTGTTGTGATTCATAGTCTGTGAGCATATGTAATTTCATATAGATTATGATAAGATGATGTAAGTTCTCTCATGTACCAATTTATTTTAGAAATGAGTTTATATTACTTTACTGTACTGGTAAGATTGAGAATGAAATGTGTAGGCAAGAAACAGGTGAAATACAAAGGTGAACTTGGTAGATAATAGAGAGATTTTGTGATGCACGTGTTTATAAATCTCTTATGCTTATATTCATGAATTCTATGTATTGCGTCCTCATTTGTCTCCAAGCTCTATCCGTTCCAAAGGAGCTATCGCTTGTAAAATATTATTTATAAGTGGGTTAATCCATATCTTATCTGGGCATATTTATTGGTCCAGAACCATTGTGATGTCATATGACTATCCAATCAACATTATAAACATGCAGTTTAAAGAAGATTCTATTATCAATTATACTTATAACATATAGCTAAACGCATAAACATAAGTTATGCTTTCACTTATAACCAGACTCTCTTTATGTTCCTTAAAATTTATTGAACAGGGAGGCGGGGGAGGGGGATGGGGATGGTCTGGGCATTACTTAATTAGTTTCTCTAAAATCCATATGAAAACTATATCTGGAGGTAGTTCTGTACTTACAAAATATGTTTTGAACATACTTAAAAATTATAATTTTTAAAACCCCACATACTATTTTTAGATAATAAAAAAAAATTCATGTTTTGGCTTAGCTTTGAGCTTTGTGACGTAACAAACCATATAATATATATTAGAAAAACTCGAATAAACCTGAGTAATATAGTTCCAAAGAATAAAAAATACATAGATAGTACTATAGGTAATTAAGTACTGGTCAAGATAGCCTGAAGAACTTTGAATCCATCAGTTCCGCAGACTGATATTAAAACATTGCCCATCAGCAATAAGCTATAAATCATTAGAGTTGGATAATTTGAAATGTTCACCTGGTAGTCAAGGATAATTGCATTCATAATTGTCAACAAATACCGATCTTAGGACTTCTCAATGAGGTTCTGTTATATAGACATTGGAGCTATGCAGAATTGCAAAATGAAATTGTTATATCCCTTATGTTATAATTTCCTTCATAAAGATTGCATTGAACATAAAGGGTACTGCACTAGTTTGTATAGCTCTGATTGTATTTCTTGTTTTGAAATATATGCCCTTTTAACATGATTTTGCAAATAGTTGGCTTATAAAGTTAAATCCATGCTTCGTATCATACAATCTTTCAGCCTGATTTATAGAGTGTAATAAAGTCTCTTTTTTCCTTCATAGCTTGATTTGAAACTTCATTTAACATAGGCTTGGTATTTATGGGCACACTGTATATCTTTGACTTTGTCATTTCTTTTATACTAGCATGTGAGCAAATTTACTACTTGTTTATAAAAAAACATTATTTTTCAGGCAAACAGGATTCAGCTGAGGTTATTCTTGCCTCACTAGAAGTTGTCCCAGAGCCCATGAAATCCATGGCCAACATACTCGTAGACATTTGTGCTTATGCAGGTAAGTAGAGCTCTAGAGTCTGTTTTGGGGTAGAGGTGTAAGGGTGTGTTTATGCATTTCTCAGGCGCACTAAGGAATGTACATTGTCTGGAAATAGTGTTTTAAAAATGTGATATTACATGGCCTTGGAAAAATCAACCCGCCAACCATTTACAGTTGTTGACCACAAGTGATGCCATTGGAAAGATATTCATTGGGAAATCAAGTTAATAAAATACATTGATTTCAAATAAAATCTGTAATTCCAAGGAAAAGAAATTCATGAACATATAAATTGAATCTATATCAATATCTATATTGCAGCTTAATCACCTTTCACAGGTCGTAGAGAATATAAAGGTCAAAATCTGAAAAATAGTAAAATTCATGCTATTAGAATTCATTTCTGAGTTACTCTGTAGGCCACAGGTACAGATTATGGCAATTATACCTCCTTCCAGATTTTAGACAAAGAGTAGCAAAAGCAATCTGATTCTAGCTGTTGCATATGCTCAAAATATGGTTTTAGCCTTGGAGATAAAAGGAATGAAATTTCACCTAATTGACTTATTTCACCTACATTTCCATTTTATCAAATTTCAATTAGTATGTGCGATGAAACACATGGTATATGGTATGTAAATATGAGTTACATGACCTTGAATTATATTTTCATATGTCGTCGCATGAGAATAACTTTGTACTAACTGCCATTTTCAAAAAAATTGAGATAGACATGGAATTTTACTATTTGAAACACAGGCTTTCATCTCAGATACATGCCCCATCTCAATTCCCTCTCATTAAAGGGGACCACCACCATGGTCACATGATCAGTCGTGTGGAGGTAAGCTCCCAGTTGAAATAAAAGCACTGTCCTCCTTTGGTTTATGTGAAAAGTAGCTAATACCCTCATGTATTGGTCAGTTTCTGTGTCACACGACTAATCCACACCATATGCTTCATTCAACATATTTTATGCTATTAAGCTGCATATAAAAACACTACTTTGCACTAAAAACGTACTACTGGATGAACTAAGGTTAGGGTAATTAAATTAGTTGTTTCTCATTCTTGCCCGCGTGTGGCCCAATCCCCCTCCACCTTTTTCTGCCATTTCTGAGAAAAAAACACCGTACCTCGCGCGCATCCATGGCGTGTGAAACACTTTTTTTTACTTTTTATGGATCAGGATAATTGACAATATCGTGGTTCTGATATATGATCAAATATACCAGTAAAGTAGGCTAAATTCAACATATAAATTCAAGATAAACTCAGTTTATTTCCTTTAAAGTTATTTATTTGTTTTTACAGTTATTTTAAAGAAAACAATCATCCCGTCCCTCATCAGCATTTTAGATAGACAAAAAAAGGTAATATAAAAACCGTCATTCCCGTATCAATTTTGAAAAATAGAAGAAAGAGAAACAACTAATTTAATTACCCTGGCCTAACATAAAATAAAAAGCCACTAGCTAGCTCATACAGTATACTTACCCCTTGCAAATTGTAATTTATTGAATTCACAGTAAACCCATCAATTTAAAAAAAACAAAGAATATTGTTCTCATGGATCTATTATTCATGTTAAACTAAGCATGAAAATATAAATATGAAATAATATGTTAGCTTGAAGTCATATATAAGATGAAAATATATGTTCATGCATTTGCATTTTTCCAAAGGGAATACCTGTATATTCCCATGTAAGTAAATACAGGTGCAATATATAATTTATATGTATATCTATGTCATCTGTCTATACATGCGCGTATAGTGATACTTTTGAACAAGATGATGGTTCTGGAAAGAAATGAGCGTGGCAGATTTGCTAAAAAGCCACATACACCACAAAAGCAAGACCAATTTGAAAGTATTAAGGTTCATTATTCTCAAGGGTACACTTCAAGTGAAAGCTACATTGCTACAGGGTGGCCTATCATTCTGAGACAAATGTATTATCCAACGATTGTGATTTTCGAAGCTAAAATATAATATCTTGAGCAGATGGAAATACATTCCCATGAGATATGTATATATAGTCAAAAGTGATAACTATTTATTGAGTGTAATGAAACGTACCCTTCGCCAACTGCTTTTGTTTGAGATAATTATCATGAAATATTTTTAAATTAATTTTTATGTGTGTCATTGATCCTAATCCACCCTGTAGTCTGGTGTTTGTAGAGCATTGCACCTCGTACAACTTATTCTCACAAATATCAAACCTCATTTACTAATTAATATTTTGTGTGAATATGAAGAGTCCACGCATTGCTTTTTTATGTTTACTGTATAGCTATATTTAGCCTTGATATCCATGATTTTTTAAAACAAAATCTCACCGTTAGATTTCGAGCTATTCATGTTTACTCATTTTTCTAATTGGAAAACAATGCAAATCTCATTTTTTCAAAGGAAAAAAATTGAAATTCTAAGACGGTGAAAAATCATTAAAAAATATACAGATTCAGAATCCGGCAAGCATTTTCCCTTATTCCTCTCCGTTAAGAAGTTTTGTAAGGTGTTGGATCCCTTTAAGCTAGAATTCAGTGTGAAATTGTACCATCTCCAGACAAACAGCTTATTTCTAATTTCAAATTGTCATATCTGATATCAACTGTTTCAACCAATCAACTCTCTAAGAATTGGTCATGTTACTTGCAAAACTTGGAGTTATAACAATCTTATATTAAAACGAAGTATGCCAATATGCATGTTATTGTATCTAGAATGAAATAATGTTTTGTAACACAATACCATGCCAGTTTGCATGCCTGGCCTTTCATGTGTTAGTTTTAGAACTATTACAAGTAGATCAAAAAAATAAAATGATACAGTATGTGTAATCCCATGCATATTCAAATTATATGCCCTCAATTACTCTTTGTATTATGGATGCTCATTGGATTATTCATGGCCACATGATATGAAATAGAATTACTAATTTCCTCAAAAACCTAAATCCTTGCTACCAGGGAAGATGGAAAGTACAAATGACCAGTTAATTAGATCATGTGAGCAGTCAAAAGTACCCTTTATCTTCCCTGCTACCAGGTCTTATAGGGGTTTGAATGGCCAAATGCAATAGAAATGCATATACGAAGCTGTTATCATTAAATGTTGAAAATGAAAGACTACTTATTTGTTTCTTCAAATAGAGTACATAATAATAGGTTATATACTAGATATAGTAATCAAAACAAATAGTAACTGTCATATTTTGCACTACATTGCTCAAAGGCAATCACTGTCTGTATACTCTTGAAATCTCTTTCAAAATGATGTTTTATAGTTTGTGGAAAAAAGCTAAATCTATTTAAACTAGCTTTAACTTTTACTGACCATACACTATATCAATAAGGAGTTATCTTTATGTTAGTATAGTCCCTTAAAACACTTATTTTATTTTCTCTTCATCTATGATTTACTTTGCGCTTTTCACTGAACATCTGGGATCTTTTTAGTTATTTTATTACTAGATAGTATGTTTTTCAGATTTGTCCTTTCTTTTGCATTTTTGAGATCATTGTTTTTAGATCATCTACATTTTATTTTGGAAAAGTAACAAATTGGTTCAATTTCTTTACAAAGAGCCACTCTTAGTCTCCACTTCTACAATTGTGCTTCAATTCCCAATTGTTAGAATTAGAAATTATTTTTCTATTTTCAAATTTCTTCCATGTGCATGTAATAAAAATTGGTTATGTCTTAGGCCCTAAGGATCTGAAACCTGCTGGTCAAAATGGAATTACGGACCAGTTGCAATGTTATTCTTCTATACCCAGTGAAAAAATCAACTGGTCTGTATCAAAAATAACCTGATAATGACCAGCGGACCGGCCCTTAGGGGCTACATTGTAATGTGCTGGGAGGTTTAGGCTACAGGGTTTATACCGAGGGAAATATGTGGGGGACCGTATTGGCATCATTGGTTTAAATTCATTGTACTTCTGCCTTAGTTTCAAAGGCAATTAATTCTTTTTGAAGGGTGTCCTGAGATTCCAAAATTAAGAAATAATTGTACTTATTTGAGAAATTGGTTTCAAAGTTTTATAAATTGAATTTTCTTTATTTTATTAAATAATATTCTTTGGTTTTTGAAGATTTTTTTACAAAGCAAAACATTATTTTTCATTCTAGATACAATAACATGCATATTGGCATACTTCGTTTTAATATAAGATTGTTATAAGTCCAAGTTTTGCAAGTCACATGACCAATTCTTAGAGAGTTGATTGGTTGAAACAGTTGATATCAGATATGACAATTTGAAATTAGAAATAAGATGTTATTCCGGTGGGAAATTGTATCAACTCCATTTCCATAGTTTTAAAAAAGGATCTTGTAAATTGTTTCAAGGTATGATATTTCATATAAGATATCTCTAGGGTGAGACCAGGTGACATACAAAAAATCAAGTTTCAAATAGCAATACTAAGTAAGATACAGACCTCTAAACTTTCAAACCTTGATTTCTCAGTTCCGTAAAAATGTGAGATAGTACAAAGTTATTCTCATGCGACGATGTGTACTTTTGATCAGGCTTTTGCATATGCTCAACCTTCAAAATAGAGTTTTAGCCTTGGGGATTTGAGAATGAAATATGAGAAAAGGAGAAAAAATTATTAATGTAATCACCTAATTTTAGCATTCAATGACTTCTTTTTGATTGCCATTTCAACGGAGTGGTATCGATATGGAGAACTTTTTGAACACACGTTTCTCTTAAATCGAGTCATAAAAAAATCTAAAAATTTAATACATCATCAATTTAATGGTCATCTTTTGAATGGTAACAATATAATTTGAAAAATATATATATACTTTCATCTATATTGTTTTAGAAAACACATCAAACACTTGTTTTGTTCTTGGTATCATGTTTCCAGAGTGAAATGAAACATCTTTCCGAACCTCATTGGAACAAAACGACATAAACACAACATGTTTAGGTCTCTCAATATTGTAATTGTACAAAGGAAATTTTGGTTGATTTTAAAAAAGTATCTTGTTCATGAAATAAAAGGTTTATCTTGATTTTTATCTATTTTGGCGGATTTTGTTATAATTCTTTGAATACCTTTTTTAAAATCAACCAAAAATTCCTTTGTATAACTATTATATTGAGAAGTCTAAAAACATGTTGTATGTATGTTCCAACAAGGTTCGGAAAGACATTTTATTTCATTCTGAAGAATTGGTAGAAAGGAGCAAAAACAATTGCACTAAAAAACAAAAAATGTTAACAAAAAGTTATATAAAATATATCTGAATAATTTTCGCATTAAATTGTTTTCAATCAGTCAACATTACATAAAATACTGTGTTTTTTTACAGAATGTGTTCAATGATTGGTTTAAGAGAAAAACATTGTTGAATTCAGTTCTCCATATCGATACAAATCCTTTCAATCAGTATGTAAATATGAGGTGCATGAACTCGAATAATATATTTTCACATTTGTTCCTTTGATCGAGCTATTTCACAATATGCTCAACCTTCAAACCCGCCTTCAAAATAGAGTTTAGCCTTGGCGATTTGAAAATGAACCGTAAAAAAAAGAATGAAATGACTAACTTTATGATCAGTGACTTTACTTTTTGATTAGTATATCAAAAGGGCAGGTATATTATTGCAAGCTTTTTTAAACAGCTCTTACCTAAGTTCTAATAATTATTTGACCACAAAAACAAATGCGTTTGTTTGGCCAGTATGTTATCTTCTATAAGGGGCAATAGAGTGAAAGTCGATCGGATTATCTCTTAAGCTGTCATTAATCCACCCACCATCACCAATTTTCCCTAATTATGAGTCAATTTCACCAAAAATGCAGCATTTTATTCCAATTTTTACAACAAGATTGAAATGTACTATAAGTCATGATTTACCTCTGAAAAGGAAAAGAGAGCCTCCTTGGGATTAGGATAATCCGAAAAACAATGTATATTTGAGGTCAAATATCTGGCCCAAAAGCAACATTTTTTGATATGGTTAATGTACAAAAAGATTGGGGGATATTACATATCAAAAATAACAAAATAAAATAATCCATTTGTCATAATGTTATTCACACCTGTCGGGAATTTCAAAAGTCCAAAATAATGTACGAAATATGATAAAAGTGGGTCTCAAGAAAATTACATGGGACTCATTTTATTTATTAATAACTGGGTTGAGTCCCTGGGACTCTGAAATTAAAGTGCCTTGCACGGCCACTGATTAATGAATGACATTTAGAGTCATGATCAAGGATGTCTCTTACTCAGTAGAAAATGCTTGTTTTTCTAGATATCTTTTTATTGAATGTGCTTTTTCCAATTTAACTTTTCATTGAAAAAGATTTTCAAGTCTGAGTAACTTATCAGCTTAGTGTAATTTGGACAAAAAAAGTTTTTTCTGTAAAAAGTTAACCCTTTTCAAACATAATATGGTTACAGTTCGCTGTGTGAGCACAAGGCCGTGGGTCATTTATTTTCTTTTTATAAATATTTACTGGTATATTCTCTTTATGCACTAGTGTGCTCTATCCTACCTATGTACTGGTACACTTATTGTTACAGGTACTGGTAATGTGCTAAAGGTACAGGAACTTCTACATATATGCTCAGAGCACTTTGAAGAAAAAGAGGTATGTATATTATCATTATAAATAACACCCAAATTAAATTATGAATATTCAAAAGAGGACATTTAAATCTACAATATGTAAAAATATCAAAATTGTCCAAAGCAGCCATAACTAAAGAAAGTTGGGGTACTCTGTATTTAGAATGTTTATCAAATATTTTCCCGTAGGAGAAAGACGAGAAAAAAGAAAAAAAAGATGATAAAAAAACAGAAGAGAAGAAAAACGAGAAAAAAGATGATAAAGCCGACACCAAAAAAGAAGACGTTAAAAAGGAAGATGCTAAAAAAGAAGAGAATGAAAAGAAAAGAGCTGATTTAGCTGCTCATCAAGGTTGGTGTACCCAAAAGTATTATTTGCCAGACTATTATGTTTTTATTAATTAGATATATGAAACAGAGCAGTCACTCCAACCTAACAGTTGGAGAATTCTAAATATTTTTACCTCAAACTTGTATTTTAATTAGAAATTTGAAACAAAGAATTCGATTACAATATCACGCTAATTCATAATCCAGTGTTCGCACTATCCATTTAAATTTCTGAGTCCCAGGGACGCAACCCATTTGAAAAATTTGAGTCCCCATCTAATTGTTTTGCGTCCCTCTTATTTCTTCACAAAGTTCAAGAAAATATTGTGAAAGTGAAAATAAAGTGGGCGATAATAGAGTACTTACACTAAAATGGGATAAAAATGACATATATTGTAATTTGATGCATCCTCCCGCTAAATATTTATCACTGGGTCCTTTTCACAAAATTCTTAAGTAATGTTATACCAAAATAGTCCGAAATGAATAAAGGAAATGCTCAAATTAAGAGTTTTGTTTTCACATTTTACAAACTTGCGATCTTGAAGGTCATGTCAAGGTCATGAAGTTTTGCTTCTTTTTATTAACATTTTTCCTTATTCTGAAGACTTTTAGATGAAAAACCTCGATCTGTAATTAAACAATTATCTTGATGTTTAACATAAGATCAATATATAATGGTTCCTAGTGGAAATAATAAAGATAATCGTGAAAAACAATTGTTTCAATTTGTGGGGCACCACAGGGGATTTCTGCAATATTGTATGTTTTGATCTTCCATTTCGATTGCGGCATTTTCCGGAATATATCGGAACCAATCAAAATCCATGTCTCATACTGGAAACCCTGTTAATCTTCGGTAGCCATGATAGCCAATCAGATTTGTCGATATAAATATACCTGGATCATTGCTCGTATATCAAGGTAGTGAGTTTGAAAATCTTGATGAAAATCATGTTTCACCGCTACTGTGCTGCAGTAAAAGTTATCTTGATGCAGTTTATAATTTTTGCGTCCTAGGGACGTAAGTTGATTTTGATTTTTACGTCCAACCTTCTGAAATTTCCGTAAAAATGGCAAAAAACGGCGTCAACGCGAACACTGATAATCTAACACTCATATCCTCTATTTGAGAAGTGCTATAATATTGTAATCATCTTTTGCTAGAGAGGAATAAAGCATGTCATTGGTAAAGCAAGAAAACTGTTTATTTATTTATTTCTTTACAGATACAAGAGCAGGCTAGTGCCAAGTTCTGATTAGGTTTTCATTTATGCTGGGTAATTTACAACATTTTGAATTTCAAGTGCAATATTTATCACTTTGTGTTTTGATTTATTTGTAGGTGTTGCTGTTTTGGGTATTGCATTGATCTCAATGGGAGAAGAGATAGGATCAGAAATGGCATTCAGAGCAACTGGCAATTTGGTAGGCATATTTGTCCCGAAATATTTACTTAGATCAAGTTAAACTTGATATATTGCCTGAAAAAATGATATATGAGAGTTATTTATTTGGAAGCTTTGATTCATATAATATTTCACAGATAACAATTTTTCTTACTGATTTGTTTTGAAGTCCTTTCCAACTCATTCCATGTATGAATTCAATACTCCTGCCTCCTGTTGTTTCATTTTTACCTGTGCTTAGAATTTTTTATGTAATCTTTTGTATTCCAAAATATGACCACCATTTTATTTTCCTCTTATCTCTACTTACAGTTGAGGTATGGAGAGCCAGTGATCAAGAGGTCTGTCCCACTAGCCTTAGCCCTGCTCTCTACTTCTAACCCTAAACTACAGATCTTAGACACACTCAGCAAGTTCTCTCATGACAGTGACCCAGAAGTGTCCCACAATGCAATCTTAGCCATGGGAATTGTGGGTGCAGGTATGTGTCTTATGATTAAACATTGAAGTGATTCTATGTATGCTTGTGTTCAATAGAGTTGGCCTTTATTTTTATCGAACTAACCAATGTTTTCTGTTATTATCAAACTGTGAGTGACTTTGTATAAAATTCATTCGGCAAAGATTTCAAAAAGTTTTGAAAATATCACCAGTTACTCAAAAGCATTTATGTTAGTTGTGTTTTTGAGTTGATAAACATATATTTATAAAAATTGTTATGTGTCATATTACAGGGACCAATAATGCCAGACTGGCAGCCATGTTACGTCAACTAGCTGTATATCACGCTAAAGATGCCAACAATTTATTTATGGTGCGCCTTGCCCAGGGCCTGACCCATATGGGGAAGGGTACCCTGACCCTATGTCCGTACCATAGTGATCGCACCCTCATGAGCCCTGTAGCTGTTGCTGGCCTCCTAGCCACTCTTGTCTCCTGTCTTGATGTCAAAAATAGTAAGTGCTCAATACTTAAACTCTTTGTGTAAAAGAAAATATTACCTCTCGAGGAATACTGTAAGAGTTTGTATTGATACCTACCTAGCCTCAAAGTTTTATGACCTCATGTGTATGACGATTGATTGATAGAATCAAGTCACAATGAAAATGTTAAATGAATCTGGACAATACAAGTAAATACTTTGGCATTATTTTTACTGATACACCAGATCAAAATATTGATTTCTCAACTAAATTCAACAATAGTTTTATAGGATATGGATAAAAATAATGCCAATAACATATTAACCTACATTCTGGCAGAATAAGCCAAAGCTACAGTAGCCGTATCTAATTTCAAGACATCATTAACTAGCCTTGACAATTTAACCTCTGGTATTTGCATCAGTATCATAATACTTAATTATCCTACACTTAGTGTACTAAATGTATAATAACATGAAAAAATAAATTTGATATTTATTGGCAAAATGAATATTCGGAGGATATCGTAACGATATACTCCGGGCGGAGGATATCATGACGATATACTCCGGAAAACCCAATATGGGTAGGATATTGTCACGATATACTCCGCTTGTTGATTTCCCGCCAAATTGACTCTATTTGGCATGAAATTCATTTAACAATGATATTATACATTCAGTACACTCCTTGTAAGTGTAGGATAATAAGAACATCCTATGATTTTTTTCAGAATATCATTTTAATCTACTCGGTGATATTGATATATGCACTCGTTCGCTTCGCTCTCTCGTGCAAATATCAATATCACCTCGTAGATAAAAATGATATTCCTCAAAATCATAGGATATCCTATAACTATCCTTCTTCCAGAATTATAGATATATATATAGATATATAGATATATAATTTGTTTTATTATCTCACCGATCCCACCATTCATAAGAGATACAGAAATGCCATCCATTCATTCGTTTGTCCATGTAATGTCCTCATTTGTCTGTCTGGAATTTTTAATTTGGCTGCTTGATCCAAAATGGCTTTGCAAAATAAGATATCTTTGGTAAATTAAATACCAGTTTTAGTTCTTTTATTTCCACCTTTAAGATGAGTACATAAATGTTTGGTTACATTAAGAAGTTCTGCACTTATGATGTGTAGGTATAGCCTAGTGTCTGCAATGGCACGATTTATGTTGTTTAAAGCCAATAGCTAACCAGTTAAACATATAAACCAGCAATTAGCTAGAAATATAACAATTGATGATTTTTAACATTTCTTTTTCAGTAATCCTTGGTAAATCTCATTACATTCTCTACACCCTTGTATCTGCCATGCAGCCCCGTATGTTGGTCACATTTGATGAAGAACTACGTCCATTACCTGTGTCAGTACGAGTAGGCCAGGCTGTTGATGTTGTAGGCCAAGCTGGGAAACCTAAAAGCATCACAGGGTTCCAGACTCACACCACCCCAGTCCTGCTAGCGTATGGAGAGCGGGCAGAACTAGCCACTGAAGAATGTATCCTTTATAATAAACAATACACACGCTTTTGATGATATGTTTATGAATATTATGGTTCCTTTGGCACTTATGTCATTTATTTCTTTATTTGGAACTTATTGATATTATAATTGGTATTAAATATTATTCAGTTGAGAATTACCAACTTACATAATATTTCTTATTATCCCATCAAACGACTTACATCATATTGCTTATTACCAATTGAAGAATTAACAACTTACATCATATTACTTATTACCAATTGAAGAATTACCAACTAACATCATATTGCTTATTATCCCATCAAACGACTTACATCATATTGCTTATTACCAATTGAAGAATTAACAACTTACATCATATTGCTTATTACCAATTGAAGAATTAACAACTTACATCATATTGCTTATTACCAATTGAAGAATTACCAACTTCCATCATATTGCTTAGTTATTACCAATTGAAGAATTAACAACTTACATCATATTGCTTATTACCAATTGAAGAATTACCAACTTACATCATATTGCTTATTACCAATTGAAGAATTACCAATTTACATCATATTGCTTATTACCAATTGAAGAATTACCAACTTACATCATATTGCTTATTACCATTTGAAGAATTACCAACTTACATCATATTGCTTATAACCAATTGAAGAATTACCAACTTACATCATATTGCTTATTACCAATTGAAGAATTACCAACTTACATCATATTGCTTATTACCATTTGAAGAATTAACAACTTACATCATATTGCTTATTACCAATTAAAGAATTACCAACTTACATCATATTGCTTATTACCAGTTGAAGAATTACCAACTTACATCATATTGCTTATTACCAGTTGAAGAATTACCAACTTACATCATATTGCTTATTACCAATTGAAGAATTAACAACTTCTATCATATTACAAATTACAAACCTTGAAAATCTGAAATTCATTCAGTCTGAAACCTTTTGAATAATATTTGTGAATTTAGAATGTATCACTGAGACCAGAATTTTTTTATTGTTTTCAGTTTTGAGATTGAGACCCCATTTCATACCAGCCATGTACTGTACAAAAACTTGATTCCTTGACCTATATCTAGATCTATCACAGACTCCTGTAATGGAAGGATTTGTTATACTAAAGAAGAACCCTGACTATGATGAATAAGTGGCCTATTTCATGAAGATGTTGAAGAGAGTGTCTGAAAGAGACTTACATTTTGCAAATTGATTGGACAGTTGTCATATGATCAAAATTATGAATTATAGTTCAAAACTAAAGACTTAAAGGGAAGAGGTTGACAGGGATCCTCAGTGGGAAATATATCATCAAATGTGACGCAGAGTGACAACAGGATGAAAGTCAGTGTCTTGTATCTTCTCTATCATACAAATCTGGTCAAATGTCATCATTAGAGCATACCTGATTTAAATCTCCCATCAAAGAGACAGACATGATCCAATTGTAAGTAGGCCACTCAGGTGTGATACAAATGCATTTGAGGGAACGTATATCAAGTTCCCCCTCATAAGTTTCAGATTTACTGATCAAAATTAAATTATGGACCAATTTCCCTGTTCATGCTAAAATTGAATTAGCCAATTATTAATTCCACAGGACAGTTCCCAACAGACCAGTGCTTATGTCAGTTGCCATACTAGATGATGAGCTCTAAATACTGGATTTTGGAATTTTGTACAAATGTGTATTAAATGTATAATATTGTATTTGTTACTAAAAATGTGTAATAAATACAGTTTAAAATATAACTAAAAAATCAAAAATCAGATATGTTATGTTTCCTTGCAAATTGGCTATAGTTTGATCCCTGGCATTATAGGTCTTGCACTCTAGGTGTCTAAAACACTCTAGAACTTAGAGTGTATGTCTCTCTCTCTGGTACTCTTTAGCCAGAACTGTGGCTTTCTATGTCTCTGTCTCTGGTACTCTATAGCCAGAACTATGACTTTCTACGTCTCTGTCTCTGGTACTCAATAGCCAGAACTGTGGCTTAATTTCTATGTCTCTCTCTATGGTACTCTATAGCCAGAACTATGGCTTTCTATGTCTCTGTCTCTGGTACTCTATAGCCACTTAATTTCTACGTCTCTCTCTCTTTCTATGGTACTCTATAGCCAGAACTATGGCTTTCTATGTCTCTGTCTCTGGTACTCTACAGCCAGAACTATGGCTTAATTTCTATGTCTCTGTCTCTGGTACTCTATAGCCAGAACTATGTCTCTGTCTCTGGTACTCTATTGCCAGAACTATGGCTTAATTTCTATGTCTCTGTCTCTGGTACTCTATAGCCAGAACTATGGCTTTCTCTGTCTCTGGTACTCTATAGCCAGAACTATGGCTTAATTTCTATGTCTCTCTCTATGGTACTCTATAGCCAGAACTATGGCTTTCTATGTCTCTGTCTCTGGTACTCTATAGCCAGAACTAAGGCTTAATTTCTATGTCTCTGTCTCTGGTACTCTATAGCCAGAACTATGGCTTAATTTCTATGTCTATATATCTGTCTCTGGTACTCTATAGCCAGAACTATGGCTTTCTATGTCTGGCACTCTAGATTGATGGCAACCCTGAATAACGTTAAAATTCTAGATCTTGGATACCTTGATGATGGTGTACTTTTCTAATACAATGCATCTACATGAACATAAAAGTATCCACAACTTCCATTTAATTATCACAAGTACATATGTGTGCAATTTGGCTGGCACAATTAAAGTCTGCTTATAATGTATGGTCCATAGATTTCAATCATTAATGTGCCAATTTGATAAACTTAACACCTTTTTGGGTGCAATGTATTTCATTCCTGAGATCTACAGTCTGTTACACTGCTTCAAAGCAACCAGTTGAGCTTAAAGAAAAAGAAATCTAAAGCTTATTGGCAATAACGTATAAGGAAAACATTCATACAGCATGCAAATGACATTTGTATATTACAGATTATTTAATGTTTAGTGCAATACGCATGTGGCCTCTTGTAATTTGAAGCATCAAAATATAAGATTTTACAGACTTTATAAGCCGATTCACAAGCAATTCAAGATATGCAAATGTCATTCATGTGCAATATGAATATATTGTTCTCTATATTATTGCACAATAGTCTTTACATTTCTTATTTTTTAGGTTCAACTGGTTGCTCTGAAGCAGTCTATCAAACCATGGTCAACAGATTTGTACAATACAAGCACATGTGCAATCACATATATCATATTTCAAAGATGATGCCTACTTAATAGTATGAAGGCAATCCAGAAATTACCTACTTAGACAATCAATCCACATTCACGTGGAACCCATGCCTCGAGAATACATGTGGAAATAGCTCAGTTTTTCCAAGCTGACTTGCGTAAATACAGATGAAATATCCATGTGAATATGTGTGACAATCATCGTGGATCCATGGGGAAACCCACGTTAATTGAGTCAGCATGGAAGTAGTTTGAATTCCATGTGAAGTCGAAGTGTACTCCGTGTGAATTTGAGGCATGGGAACTAATGGAATTAGGCAATTAATACAGTTATCTGATATATCAATATGCATTTTATAGTTTCAATCTAAACAATGATTAAATTACCACAATATAGTAGTTTGCATATACTTCAATCACGTTACTAGTACTATTATGTGACCTTCATTTTGTAGAGCCAATGTTTTATATTACTCGAATGGGAAAAAGCAATTGTGAGAGATCAGGATCTTTTATTTTTTACGTTACAGTATCTGGTACGTTTGTACGTACACCTTTAAGAATTATATACGGCAAAGGTGGCCATAGACCCCATTAAAAGTAACCTCCACGTGTATCATTGGTGAGCGTATCGAAACACTAAAAGTACACATTTGACGTAAAATGTTGAGAGCAGCAATGCAATTGTGTACAAGTGCAATAGAGAGACGAAATCAAATGTTTACGAAGTGTACTTTCTTTTGATAATTAAAAGCAATGAAATAAATATGATCTGAGCTTTTTAAATTCTTAGTAATGTCAATGCGACCGCCTCGTTTACCAGAAACAATACTGAGTTAAGTGTACAAGCGGGGGCCTATAAATGTTCTTAACTTTTGCAACTTTTGCCCACTCATTTCTTTGAAGACACATTGCATATTGTATTTCTATATCAAACTAATCAAGAACTTTGAATATTGTACTTTCCATATTATTTTACATAATTTATTTTAGACGTTTTTCACTTAATATTCGTTTACGTGCAATATAAGATGGATTCCCACTCTTTTTAACACACCATCAATGCAAAGTATATAAGCTCTCGCCTGACTATATCTGACGACAAAGGCGCTATTCTACCACCGTCAAAGTACTTCATAATGTACCATCAAATAGCCGCTGTTTTCTATTTCGCTGCTCTGTTCTACATAGCATTTGGATATCAACAGGCACATACAAGTATGTATAGTTTTTACTTCTCTCCTTTTTAAATAAATGTAATTGTTTACATTTTGTGTTATTTTTTTTTTAAATTTCATTATTCAATATCACGACGGATGAGAATCATTCGTGTTAGAAATCTCGTGAAATATTTACATCAAAGAATTGGTATCGATATGGTGAACCTTTTGAACACACGTTTTTCTTATATCAGTCATCAAAAAATTCGAAAAAAATTACACATCGTCAATGTAATGGTTATCGTTATGTCTTTTGAATGGTAATAATATAATTTAAATATATAGTAGCCCGGACAGAATTGTTCAAGGGTCACTTTTTCTTTAATAACTTTTTTAATTTTTAGTATTATCAACATCTGATTATACATCAGAGTAAAATTCTGACATAGAGAAAATTTTTATTTATTTTGGGGGATTTCGTTTTAATTTTTTGAATACATTTTGTTAAATCAACCAAAATTTTCTTTGTATAACTATATAATTTCGATAGGTATAAGAAAATGTTGTATATGCTATTTTGTTCCAACGAGGTTCGGAAAGATGTTTTATTCCATTCTCAAGAATCGATAGAAAGGAACAGAAAACAATTGCACTAAAAAACAAAAAATGTTAACAAAAACAGTTATAAATAATTTTCGCATTAAATTGTTGTCAATCAGTCAACATTACATAAAGGACCGTGTTTTTTCACAGAATGTTTTCAATAATTGGTTTAAGAGAAAAACATTGTCGAATTCAGTTCACCATATCAATACCTATCCTTTTCTATAAATAAACTTGGTTTAAGAAATTTAAGAAATACCCAAAGGCTTTACTGTTTTAATAAAAGTTTTAATAAAATGTATTTTAGAAAGGAGATATAGACCGTAATGCCCGTTATGGCTCAAAAAGCAGCTTGAGTGATTTTTTCGAAAGGTTTGACTTTTGAGACTAAAGATGGCCTTTTTGTGTTTGTAAAACTGAATATATTCGAAAATCATTTGACATTATTATCCCATCGAACGAAGTTCAGAGGGATATAGGGAACGCCTCCGTCCGTCCGGGCAATAACTTAAATACCGTTGGTCCGATTTTATTCATATTTTGTACACATATACCCAATGGGGGTAAAGGTCTGCTCGAAAACCGATTTTCAAAATGGCCGCTCATTTAAAAATGGCGGCCATTTTAGTGCCGATTTTACAGTAATTTAGGTACTGCATATAAAACTGTAATAACAATATGTTTTCGATGTAAAAAGTTATATAGGACATTGATTAAGCTAGAAATGTAAATACAGAAGAAATTCATGGCAGCCATCTTGAAAATGGCTGCCTTTGCACGTCATTTTACGATTTTTGCTGTAACTTGAAAAGTAGTGGAGCGATTTTGTTCATATTTGGTATGTGAGCATGGCACAATGTCTAATAACAATTTTGGTAGTAGGCGGCCATTTTAAAAATGGCCGCCATTTTTACGTGTGTTATTTAACATTTTTTACTGTAAGTCAAAAAGTAGTGGAGCGATTTTGTTCATATTTGGTATGTGAATACTTTAAGCATAGCCCAATGTCTAATGACATTTTGGGTATTAGGCGGCAATTTTTAAAAATGGCCGCCATTTTTACGTGTGTTATGGTATGGGGTTCCATATCCATCCGCCAAAAGGTATGACCCCTATATAGTCCATTTAAAAACTCGTGGTATTGTTCTAAATAACGCCATAGTTTGCTTCTAGGGTACCTAGTATGCCACTATTTGGTATCAAAATAAAGAGGAGGAGTTCAACTTTCATTTGAATTACGAAAATAGCGATGTAGGTCAAAAATAGTTCCGACGTGAAGGTGTTTACTACGCGTTTGCCCGTCATATCAGAATTGAGGAAGTGGTAGCAAACGCGAGTCACAATAAATGGACGCTGATATCTAAAAAAGTAACCTGACTCCCTATAATTTGATGTAGATCAATCAAACCTCTATATGAACAGGTACATTTTGATATATAACACTATGGGGGGTAAGCGTTTTATAGTTGGTCACGAACGCCATATGTGCAAAGTATTGTTATGAATTTTCGAATTTGGTGTTGGATTACGGTACTCATACCTTAATATGAGGCCTAAAATTGTCTGCTAGTTGGCCAGAGACCAATATTCTAGCAGAATTTGAGAACAGAATCGATTTTTTCGTTCTGCGTAGGGCAAACAATGATTTGAAATCACTTTCAACCATTCTGTGAGTATAAGAATGGTCATAAGAGGCCCGTGGAGGGTCATGGATGAAAGAGAGCCCTCTGAAATTCCGTCAAAATTGCAGGTTATTTCTTCATTTTTTGCTAAAATTACATGATTTTCAGGGCCCATATCTCAGTGAAA